TCTGGTGTGGTGTTGCACAGTGGGGTAATGACAGATGAGTAACACACTGCATTTCAGAAAGCTAGGGTAAAGGATTTCCAAAGCTTTTTGTTGTTGTTGTTTAACCAGTTAGATAAACATGTTTAACATGGTTTAACATGGCTTAAAAATTACACATTCATTGTATATATTACTAAATTATATCATTCATCAATATGTATGGTATTTATGGAATAAATACACATAAGTTGAAGCGTGCTCCTCCTGGATTACTGACAGCCTTTTAGGGGTGAACTCAACTCTCTGCATTTCCTCCTGTGACAGGGAGACCAGAAAGGCCAGACTCTCCTAGATCACAGTGTGTATGACCACAGGGCCCAGCAGCAGGTCTGACCCCAGCCCTGCTCTTTCCACAGGCCCAGCAGAGGCAGTGAAGTTGTTATTTGGCCACAGGAACATGTGCAGCTGTTAGCTCTAATGGACGATGGCTTCCTTCATCAAGGGAAAGATGGTGAGGTGGAGGTATGATCAGAGTAGGAGACAGAAGGGAGGACTGCAGCTTCAGGGATGGGGCCTTGAGCAGCCCACCCAGTCCAACTGGCCTTGAAGAGCTGGAGTAGCCTAAGTCTTGGCCTGTCATGACCCTGAGCTCCTCATTTCCTATCCCTTACCCCTCATGTCCTCCCTGGGCCCCGCTGCTACAGCCTGTAAGCCCCTTGCCAACCTCTGACTTACAAGACTGGCCTCACTGATTTGTTTAGTCTCCTGGGTGACTGCCCCCTGCCAGCCTATTGCCATGGGATGCAGCATACCCTTTGCCAGCACCTCACCCTTCCCATCCCTCAGACCTCTCTCCATGACAGATAGGTTGCTGAACACAGGGGCTACTTGAAAGTGAGTTTTAAAAATTTATTATTTTATTATTTTTGCTACTGGAGATCAAACTTGTGACCTTGTGTTTTGCTTGCCAGGCAGGTATTTATGCCACTGAGCTATACCCCCGGCCTGTGAGTTTTTCTTAAAAAATTTTATTTAAAGGGCCAGCCAAATAGCTCAACAGATTAAAGTGCCTGTTAGGCAGATGCAGGGGCTGGGAGTTCGATCCCCTGGCTTGCCTTGCTGGCCTTGCCCCCAGGTATGCTGAACCATTGATAAGAGACTGGGTATGTGATGGTGCACGCCTGTAATTACAGCACTTGGGAGGCTGTAAACAGGAGGATCACTATGAGTCCCATCTATGCAGTGAGGCCCTGCACACCGTCCTAAATAAAAATAAAAATAATTATTTAAAAAAATATGGAATGCTTCACGAATTTGCATGTCATCCATGCTAATCTTCTTTGTATCACTCCAATTTTAGTATATGTCCTGCCAAAGTGAGTACAAAAGTGAGTTTTAGGGGCTGGTGAGATGGCTCAGTGGTCTAAAGCACCTACTTAGAACAAGCTTAGCAAAGCACAGGGACCACGGTTCAATCCCCCAGCACCACATGCCAGCCAGCCCCGCCCCCTGGTGGGCGGAGCTGGCCACACACACACACACACACACACACATAAAATAAAATAAAAATAAAAAAGAAATATTTTTTAATAAGTGAGTTTTAAATGAGTTATTTATTTTTGAGTTAAGTTCTCACTATGTAGTCCAGACTAGCCTTGAACTTGCTTAGGTAGTCCAGGCTGGCCTGGAACTCACAATGTTCCTCCTGCCTCAGCCTTCTAAATGCTGGGATTACAGGTGTGCACCACCACACCTCATTGAGTCAATTTATTTCAAAATCATTCTACTGAAAATGACCTGGGGAGACTGAGGGTAATTGGCACAAGCAAGAGGTCACACCGTAAGACCCTGCAGCCAGGTTCCTTATCCACTTACGGTTAGATCCTCACAGCACGGTGCACTGTGTGGGAAGTGGGAGGGAATTCCTTTGCAGCAATCAGTACACAAAAGTGCACACCCAGCAAGCTCCTGAAGCAGCCTAGAAAACAGGAATCTACATGCTCTGGTTCATTAAAGTTGAGCAATGTATCTGGAAGGAATTTGAAATGCTTGGCCTTGCTGTCTTCATTTCCTGGTATTCTGTTTTTCATGTAAGCTAATAACCAATTCAGTGCCCACAGTAGGCATTTATTTCCCAACGGTTCCATGTCCACAGTGGAGGAGACCATGGCAGGGGGTGCAGATGTGAGGGGATCATCCAGCTGTGAGTGCAGAGCCTACCTTCTTGGAAAGTGCCACCTGCCCTTTCTTCTCCACAACACTGGCCACAGTGTTATTGCTGTCTCTGATCACTTGCTTGACACCAAATGAGGACACAGTCCTACCCATGCCCTAGCTGAGGACTGGTGCACACAGAGCACAGTGGGTGGGCTTGGTGCTCACCAGCTCACTGACCCAAGAGGTTCTAAGAATCTTTAGGGACTCCAGTGACCATTGTCCCATCAATGCCCTTATGCTGTGCCAGCCTGTGACCAGGTTAAAAGTCACACTGATAGAGGTGTATTCCAAGAAATTTATTACTAATCATGAAGTACAAGAGGGACTTATTTTTCTGTAAGTTAGAACAGACCAAGAGTTATCCCTTCCTCTGGCATCCTTGAGAATCAGGCCTCTCCACCAGCAGAGGAAACTGGCCAGTTCTTCATTCCCAAGGTGGGCACAGATGCAGGCCTGGCCAGTCACAGCTGTTCTTGTGCCCAGAATAACAGCCTGTAGGTGGCACAGGAGCCAGCTAGGCAGAACAGCCTCACAGCAGGTTAGGGGAACATCTGGACAGCCCAAGGACAAAGTCCACTGAGCTCAGCAGGGCTACAAGACTGAGAAGAATCCTGCCAGGATGACTCCTGGAAGTTATTTTCCACCTTCTATGCAAGTAAGCCTTACTCAGCTGGCAACTGCTAACACTTGCTCCAGGCAGCAGCTGAGCACTCTATGTAGGAGTAAATAAAAGGGCATGAGAAACCAGTTTCCACCTCCTCATGGCAAAGGGATGATAACTCTATCTAGTTTGAGCAAGCCTTCAAAACTATTTGAAGTGTGAACTTGTCTGAATGTAGCTAATGATTTTAGGTTTGTTGAGGACACTCAAGCTTCAGTTGGGACACACTTCAACTCAAGATGGTGCTCCTTTTTCTTGACCCAGCCTCATTTGCAGGAGGCAAAGACAACTCAGAAGCCCAAGACAGGGTCTGGGCTGGCATGAGCTAGTGAAGCTTCCAAAGGAAAGACCATGAGGAGGCTCCCTTGAGCTGTGTAACATCATGCTGCAGAGACCACAGGTCACCAGCTCCAGAAAGGCCACCCAGCAGGAGGCCAGGACTGAGTAGAGAAGCCTCCAAGGTCCAAAGTTCAACGTCCAACATGTGGCTCCCAAGGGCCTTGGCCAATATCCTGCTGAGGTGACCTCAACATTGGACTCATGGTAGGGCCTTGTGGTGACCTCCTGAGCTCATACTGCATCCTCCACACCTGCATCCCAAACATGCAGCTGATCTTATATTCTCTGTGGCTTTAACAGCCAGAGGAGCAGATGCTTGTAAATTCTTGTATTTATGTATGTACGTGTGGGTGAAGGTAACCAACCATGCTGCAGTAAAATTCCTGGGGTTTAGAAACATACGGGTACAAACAAGTCTTTGTGGCTATCAGTTCCAGGAGAAAAAGTAGAAAGATGACTAAGAATAGGGTTGAAATGCACTTGGATTAAGCACGGATCACAGAAAGATAAGTGCACTGCAGGAGGGAGCTTCAGCATGCTAGAGCGAGGGCCAGGGTCGGCCCTACCTGGGCCTGGACACTGGGTAATTCACTGCAGCTGGGCTCCTCAGTGTGCCTGCACATGTCCACACAGGTGGGGACAGGGGACAAGCCCTGCTGCCCCAGGTCCTTGCAGTAGCTTAAGCCCTTTTAAGCTTCAGTCTCATACCACTGCACAGTATAACTGTGAGGATTACATACACACACGATGTGTTTACACAATGTGTCATTACTTAGAGTGACCACTGCACATCGTCATCCTCAGAGCACTCGATGCTGGGGACACCACTGTCCACTGCCAGAACTGTGAGTGCCACCTGCTCCACAGCACAGGCTGCTGCAACCTGAGGGAAGGCAAGGTGCAGGGTGAAAGTGAAGGGAGACTCTCCTGCCTGCTTGCACAAGGGAAATCTGTCATCGGCGCACCTACGCGTTTCTCTCTTCTCCATTAACTTGCAGGGACAGGTACAGTAAGCAATGGAAACAAACCCTTTTCACATGACAGGTGCTGAAAGCATCCCTCTTGCAGCACATGGCCTGAAACACCATGGCCATGTGAGCACTGTAATGGTTAGCAAATACAGCCAGCACGTGTACAGACAAGCCATCCACAAACTGCATTTCCCATGTTTCACAATAGCTCTAAACACTGACTCAAGGGAGTCAGAGGTGAACACACTATTAACCCACATCCACTTCCCCTTTTATTTTAAGCATGGGGTTCTGGCTGACTGATGTTAGAAGCCACAACAGCTCCACTTCCGGCTTCACTGTGCACTGAGACACGCTTGCTATCTCAGGCTCCCAATCAACTACAGCCTGGAAATGATTTCTTCAGAGTTGTAAAGCTAGTGCAGTCCACTAGCTGAACTGTGCCTTGTGTTGTTAGAATGGTGACATTTAGGATGACATGCTGCTTGCCCTTAGCCCTATTCTCACTTGGGCATGACTTCTTCATGTGGGCACAATGTCCTCAGCTCTTGCAGCTCTACTTATCAGCAGCGATTCCTCCCTGACAGGTGACAGCACTCACATGAACATCACCCAGTGCAGGACTTAGTGCCTATGAACGCGCACAGTGAATGTCAGACATGAGCTTGAAGAACTCACAAGACAAGACTGTGTTAAAAGGGAAACATCAAGTTTAATTTAAAGAAAAAACCACTAGACACTGTTAGCAGGAATGACAGAGCAAACCAACTCCTGAAAAAGTTCAGCACCTTGGTGAATATGTGTAGTAGAAAGCTAAAAGAAAAACAATGCTACTTAACTTAAAATGTTACAAGGTTTTTGCAAATCAACGCATTTCACTGGTGAATACATCCCCTGGTATCAAATATGTGTGCAGCCTTGTCCCCTGAATGTCTGATGCAGTTAAACAGCCCAATGTTGCCACACAGGAAAAAATTTCCATTTCAACCAACTCTTAGTGGAGGGGCAACTAGCACAACACCGTCTCCCCGGACAAACAGCATTGGGATATTTCGTTTTGTTGACTGAAAAAGAAAGGAAAAAAGGAAAATCACATTAACACAAATACAGTAATTTATTTTTTGTCAAATTTTAAAAACATGTTCATCAGTGTACAAAAGTTTCAATTTAAAAACTTTACTTTGTTGCACACAGAATCAATACATTTACTTTTCCTTTAATTTGGCACTCACACCTGCAGTGGGAAATGGGCCCTACCCATCCTAGCCTCTCTCCATTAGGCTGCTTTCTTACCTGATCAGTTGTAGGACTGCATCTTACCCAATGGGAAGCCAACAGGACTGCATGCTGAGTGACCAATAGACCTACCACCATAGCCCATTTGTAGTCCTTCTCTTGCATTGGCTGGAAGGAAGTAATGGCAAGAACTTGGGGGACAGCACAACCATGCCAGAGTCATATGCAAGAGGCTGTAGTGCTGATCTCAAACCCCACTCAAAATGTAATGTGGCATTCAGCCCTGTGACACACTCCAGGTACAGATGGGGAGCCACTAGTCAGGAAACATGTAAATTTGTCACTGTGTCTCAGCCAAACATGAGGCAGAATTTGGAAAGTAGCCTAGGAGCTCTGGAACCCAGAGGCTGTGGAGAATAGGCGGGAAAATGTAAACTGTTAATAGGGGCTACTATTGGTCTCGTGCACTCAGCGGGGAAGTTCAAGAAAGACAGAGCTCAGGCTATAACTAGGTAGCTGTTTTGTTTTTTTTTTTAATGTATTTAGTATAGGGTCTACAGGGTCTCACTACAAAGATTGGACTCCTAGTGATTCTCCTGTTTTCAGTCTCCCAAGCACTGGGATTACGGGTGTGCACCACCAAACCCAGTCTCAGCTGCCATCTCAGAGTGCCCCAGGGGCAGGGCCTGTATGGTATGCTAGGGATCAAACCCTGGTCCCTGAGCCTGCCTAAGCAGGCACTTTAGTCCACAGAGCTATCTGGCCAGCCCTGGGTAGTTGGTTTTTAGGCAGACATGAAAATAAATAGGATTCACATGGTTAGAAAAACCAGTTGTACTTGAGACTCAACATACAGAAGGCCAAGTATTTTTAAAAGAGCACTGCTGAACTTTGGTTATAAAAATTATGCCCCGAGGCAGTTAAGAGCTGGCTACTGTCTTTCCACTCAAGACTTCCACCCCAAGCAGGCATCAACACTAATCTGAGGGTGGACTATGAGACCAGAGAGACATCTGGAGCAGTTTCCTCAGCCTACTTCCCTCAGGCAGAGAGGTCTGCAGAGCAAAGGATTGTCCTTCAAGCTGGGGGCCATGATGCTCAAGCACAAAGATGCCTCCTGTGGTGAGCCAGACTTTGGAAGAAGAGTGGTAAATGTGATGAATGGTTGAAAAAAATCTATGGGTGCCAAATAATCCAACTTTTGGCCAATTAAAAAATACCTCCAGGTGTGGAGAGAGCCAAGAGTGAGGCTGCCTGCCTGTCCATAGCAAATCAGTAGGCAACTGCATTACAGTTATGCAAGTTAGTTATGTAAGCAATGGGAAAACATGCAGGGTACCTTTGCTCTGTGAGTCCCCTTCCGATTTGGTAATGTTCATGTTCATTAACTACTTCAGTAGGGGAAAGAGCAAAACATTTAGTGACAGGGTAAGTGAGAAGCCCTACAGTCTGGTTTCTCATCTTGGGCTGAGAACACTCGTACAGGAGGATGAGGTGCTGTGCTCCCATGCTTCCTGTGGAAGTGCTGCCTGTGCTTTTCATCTGTATTTACATGGACATACTAGGAGAATCCACCATGAGCATGGGACAGTCTGCCAGACAAGCTGCTCACACTAGAACAGAGGCATAACAGAAAGTGGTGTGACACTATATGTTCCACAGGAGAGAGCTGTTCCTTCATAGACAAAACGAGGAAAGTGTTTCCTACCATTTAATGATTTTTAACGTTTTAAAAAACCTCTTATGTATTTATTTGGTACAGGGTCTCACTACGCAGCTTGGACTCATAGTGATCCTCCTGTCTCAGGCTCCCCAGTGCTGGGATTACAGGTGCGTGCCACCATGCCTGGTTTCGGTGGCCAGCTATGCACCTGGGGCCAGCACGGCATGAGATACTGGGGATCAAACCCAGGACCTTGAGCTTGCCAGGCAGGTGCTCAGACCACTGAACTAATTTCCCAGCCCTTTACTTTTAACACTTTATGGAACAAAAGGCAGTGCAGAAAACATCTCATTAGTTAGAAAACTCTGCTTACTCTTCTGCAATTGCAACTGTTGAAGCAAGAGAGGCCCAGGCACCAGACTGCAGTGTGCAAGACCAAAGGAGGCAGCAGCTGGGCAAAATAGGAAGTCAGGGATAACCTGGGATTATGTCTGCCTGCTGCTCCACACCTGTGTGTGCACAGTCTTGGGGTGAAGCTGCTAAGCAGGTGAGTGGCCCAGCAGTTACCAGGGCAGACCTCAAAGCAGCTGGAATCGTTTTGTCACAGTGGAAATAAGCATGAGAACAACCAAATGTTTATGAAGAGTATTTCTGTGAAATTCTCATACTGGTAATATTACATGAAAAAAGCAGGATGTAAAACTATGGGCTCCATATTTCGTCATATTATAGCCATCTGTAGGCTTGGCTGAACCATGGGAGGAAAAATGCTGTCAGTTAAACTGACACTATTTTTTCAGATTATCTCAGCTATAAGAAACAACCAGATGGGAGAGATGCTAAAATGTAAGAAACCACATGTTACAATTGGAATATTGTAACTATTTTCACCTTTAAAAATATGTGAAGTATAAAACAACTCCATAAAAACAGGTTACTACATAACACCTCTAATGGAAAATAATCTAGGTGAAGGGAAAAAGGCCAAATGCTCACACATGAAAGAACGTTGGTGAATGAATCAGGAGGGGGCAGAGGAGGACGGCCACATGGAGAGCTAAGCTGGCTTCTGCTGGAAGAAACCAGCAGAAACTTGCTCTGAACATGTAACTATTAGCACATCACAACTTCTCAAGTCAATGACAGTCACGGAAGTGGACGCTACCATGGCCCCCCATCTTATAAGACGCAGGTAGGGTAACCTGGTCTAACTGTGCAGGTGATGACAGAGTCAAGATCTGAATCCGGGTCATCCTGCAGATCAAAACCTGTGGTGGACTGATAACTGGTGGTCAACTTTTAACACCCAGCTGAACTGAACCAGAGAGGGCCCACTTGAGGATTGTTGCCAGCAGCATAGCAGGCAGAACTGGAGAAGAGAAGCTGTTGGGGAGCTGCTGGTTCTCTTGGGGCCATTGGTTTTCCTGGAGATTGTCATATTGGCTTTCCTGATGAACTTGGCTGTTCTCTTTGTCAGAGAAGCTTGGGACCTGGCTGTCACTGAGGAAGGCTATGCTACTTTTGGGGGCAGCTCTGGTCTGAGTGTTGCTTCCTGGCTCCAGTTCAGATCCCTCAGTCCACTAACACAGATCCTTCATCCCACTGGCACATACTTTCTAGCTTCCATCACTGACCTTTATTTAGGTCTTCCCAGCACAGATCTATGAAACAGGCCTGCATGAGACACTGTCATGGGCTCTTGGCCTCCAGTTAAGACTCTTGAGAGACAATGTTATGGGCTCTAGGTCTTCAGCTGGACTCATGCAGACATTGTCATGGGATCTAGGCCTTCAAGCTGGATTCTTTGATATTCAGTGTGTGGACAGATTTCCTACACTTTTTGCATATAACTCTCTGGATGATTATTACAAAATAATCTCATGAATAATAATATGTCTTATGTTGTTTCCCTTTGTAAGCCCCAAACTACACAAAACCCGTATTTTTAACCTCTGGGGGCCAGTGGAGCAAGAGACTAGTTTCATAATGTAAAGGCTTCTCTGATGAGACCAGTGGTGACTAACTACGATGACTGTTAAAATTTCATTTCACTGACCAGTGAAATGCTTCACAGTCTGGAAGATGTACACAACCCAGTGAAGTACTAATTTCCAAATGACCAGTGCTTTATTTTACCAAATAGCTTATCCAAAATCCATGCAAAGTACAAAGCAGATCAGTACATTTTTAAGAACAAATAAAGGTCAGTGTTGTGGTGCTGGACACCACACTGCAACAAACTCTGTAGTACAAACTACAATTTGCTGAGATTGGGTATAACATCAACAGCAGTATCTGCAAAATATAGCCCTTCTTTTCCATCTGCCTATCTGTACACAGTCAGATTTTCAAGAATGCAAATCTAGTCATCATCAATTAAGCCAGGCAATATAAAGATTTGCAAAAATGTAATAAGGGTTTTTTTTTTTTTTTCTTCCTCGAATGCCTTCAGGGCACTTTTGGCCAGCAGGAGAGTTGTGAGGTTCGAACTCCAGGAACCTGAGGCTGACAGCTTTGTGGAAGTAGCCACTTAAAGGACTGAGCTAGGGCCAGGCCCCCTAGATTTGCAAAAATGTAACACATGCTTTTTACTAATTTTTTTGTATTAGAAAACATAGTTAAAGTGGGTTCTGTGACTTTCCTGTAATCCCAGCTACTCAGGAGACTGACACAAAAGGGTTACTAGTGTAAGACTAGCCTAAACTGTTTAATGACATCCTATCTAAAAATATAAAAGAAAGGCCCAAGGATGTAGCTCAGCAGTAGAGTGGTTGACTAGTATATGTGAGGCCAGGGGTAGAATATCTAATATACCCCACCCAAAAAAAGATACAAATAAAAGATAATTAAAATGATGATAGGTTTCTATTTTTACATTAGTAATTCTAATATTTTAGTTTCTTACACAGTAATTATTGATAAGCAAACTTCTATGATATAGAAGAGTATTATTCTATATATTCGTTAGATACAGATCTTACTGCATATGGAAACTATTCATTAACTGGCAGCCTCTCAAGAACTCTAAAAAATTAATTTCTTGCCCAAGGGAGTCAAGATATGAAGTGGCCAAGCCAGTACTAGAAGCCAGGTATGGCTGACTCCAAAGCCTTGCTCTTCTCTTAACAGCTTTGGAGATAGCTTCCAGACTCTATCAAGTCTATAAGTAGGTACCAAAACATCACAGGCTTTCTGTAAGTATGTGTTAAGGTGCTGCATTACGAGAACTGACATGTTCAAAATGATAAGCAGAACTGCATGACTTACTTTGTATATCTCCTCATATGTCTCTTCATCAATTTCTATAGTGGTCACAGTTTCTTCCACATCTCCCAATATCATGTTTAAATGCTGATCATAAGCCTGAAGAGGGGAGGGTGAGGAATCACAAGATGTCATTAAGGAATAACAAAGAGGCTTACAACATGCAAATGGCTCCACTATAGCAGTAATTTTAATACTTAGACCACAAACTTTACAGGCAGATAAAAAAATCCATCCTGTTGTGTTTGTCTATTTTTTCTTCACAAATCATTTCCAATGATAATGTAATTGACCTCATAAAAATTAAAACTGTTTCTATGGTCAAAAATGAATATACAGGGGACCAGGGAGATAGTTCAGTGGAATAAGCACTTGCCTGGCAAGTGCAAGGGCCTGAGTTCAATCCCCGGTTCCACAAAAAAAAAAAAAAAAAAAAGAATATACTCAAAGTAACTAGAAATTACTTTTTAAGTACCCATTTTACTTGTTATCCAAGTTGATCACAACACTTATAATATTAAATTATAGAAAGCATACACAAAAACAGAAATCAGAACACTTCTTCAACAGTAAATGAGTTAAGAATCCTTTCACTGCTAAGATGATGGAGCTGTAGACCACAAAGGTAAAGTAGTAATACAACACCTTCCCATTTATAATCCATTCAGAACTTAAACGTGCCTGGCACATGCGGGTTCAGTCAATGCTGACATGAAGATATTCAATGCCTCTTCCAAAGCTCTTGCATTTATTAGTAGGTAAACTTAGGAAAGTGGTGGGGAACCTATGGCACGTGTGAAAGCCATCACTGAAAGCTCTAAAAGGTTTGCCATCACTGTCCTAGGGACTTGTTACAATTTATTTCTAACAAAGCATTAAATGGTTTTATATCATGAATAGGATTATAGCATAAAAATATTGGGTTATGATAAAATATTAAGCTATAAACTATGTATACACTTTGTCAAGTGTTCTATGCTTCAGCAAAATATTTTTAAATGTTCATAAAGTTTGTGTAAGCTATAAGCAGTGATCTAGAACTATATGGAAAAACAAAAATATAATAAATGAAATTTTAAAAATTAAAAAAAAAAGCATTAAATGGTGTGCCTACTTACATCAAGATCAAGTAGGAAAGTGGGAAACTGCTAGGCAGGCACATGAACAAGCAAAATGTATAGCTGAGGAGCAAAAACAATGGAAACTTGAGGCATTTACTATAAATACCATGGGTCTACAGACTGGAAAAAATCCTAAAAGTGTCCTTTGTAGGGTGTCTCTCAAAGTGCCACAGAATTATGCAATTACACTTGATTCTATTTTCTCCCCAGTGCTGACATCATTCTACTTCTTGGAGGTCTTCGGTTTCCTTCTTTAAGGCTCACTGTAAATAAAGGTTACTGTCTCCCTTGGCTCCTATTGCCCTCAGGACACCAGAGGTACTTCATAGGTTTCATGGCAAGTGGAACCGTAGTGTGCTTAAGAATGGAGCTCAAGTCACTCTGCTTGAGTTTATAATCTAGCTCTTTTGTACTGGCTAAGTTCTTGTGGTGTTTTGGTTGTAGTTTTGGTACTGGGACTCAAACTCAGGACCTTGCATTTGTCAGACAGGCACTGTGCCATTGAGCTGTATTCGCAGCCCCTGGCTAAGTCATTTTGAACAAGTAACTTCACATTCTGAGTCTGAACTCTTTCAACTGCAAGGCAGAAATAAATAGCAGAAGCTATCTTATTAGGGTTGTTATAAAGATCAAGCAACTGCACATATAAAACATTCAGTACACTAGCACCTGGAAAACACTTACAGCTGTTTTAACAAATTTAGAGTATACTGACAAGTAGCAAGTCATCCACAAGAAACAAAACCTTCAGTATACTCCTATGAACAAATGGGGCCATTTCAAGGGACTGATTCTACAGAAATTAACTGCAGATATGCACAAAGACATGTGTAAAGTCCTGCTGCAGTATTATTAGCCAAATACTGCTATCAGATAAGAGTCCTATGTTGTCACTACGCTAACTGCTGCCCAGTGTCTTCCCAACATAAATGAAGGACACATATATGCACTTATAACCAATGATTTCCATGAAAGATTAAGCAAAAAAGGTGCCAAAAAATATGTGAGGCAAAGATTCTATTTTTAAAGAGCTGGTGTACATAGTGCAAATATATGGACCTAGCACAGATGCACACGTATGTGTAAATATAAAGAACATATGATTTTTAGCAGTGGCTATCAATAGAGGAAATGGGATTTTCTTTTACTCTATCTAGTCCTGTGTTGTTTAATTTTTTCACAAGAAATTTATGCATGCAATAGGATCTAAAATGCACTTAAGAATGAATAAAAAACAAGTACAATTACAAATAAACATAACGGGAAAATTAAGGAAATAAAAATGTTCTGTATAATAACTATGTCTATTGGTAGAAAAACTGTTAAAAGTATGAATAAAATTTACTAGTATTTGGCTTAAAGAAATATAAGTGACTTTCTATCTCCCTCTCTACCATAATTTAAAATATTCTTCTACTGGGTAGCTTTTGCATTTCAAAGGAGGACAGGCAAGAACAACAAGAAAACGCTCTGATTTCAAGTTAATTTTACATATTCCCTTACATGTAATCTGCCTCGAAGCTCTCGGTCGTTCCTCATTTTCACATAGATCCGCTCATCCAGGCTGAGTCTGATGAGATCCAGCGGCTCCTCTACGGTGTTGGTGGTTTGTTGCTGATAAAATAAACAGGCTTGATAATGTAGCAGGACAGTTAGGCTGTGTGATGAAGGGCATGTTGTTTGGGCTCTCAGTCTTCTACTTTGTAAAATGGGGAAAACAATATTATCTACTCAATGCTGTTGTGGGGTGTACCTGATATTTATGAAGCTTCTGAACAATCCCTCTTGTACAGAACACACTATATGAATAATTGCTAAAATCTACATCCACAGGAAGGAGTTGCATAGCAAAATCATCACCATTGTACTTTCGTCCCTCAAAATCCAAACTGTAGGACTGAAATTCAAGGTACAGAAAGCAAAGCTTTGGGATGTCAGTCACATCTCAAATATCATTTACCTGTTTGAAAATTATTCACGTAATACCTATCACATCCACATCAGAATGCTAAACAGAGGTGATGATGTAAAGGAAGACTATGAATTCAGCACATGGCGGGTTGAGTTTAGGGTGCTGATAGGCCAATGAGATGAATATATTTCTGACCTAGTGCTTTGGAACTGGCATTAAAAATCGTGGTATCGCTAGTTCTCAGATTCCAAAAGAGAAAAGCATATTCCTCCTTCAGGGTTCTGGAGAGGATTAAATAACACTATAAACAGAAAATCTTTATAAATGGTTCCCATTATTAGAAATGAACTATTGGGAACAGGTTTCAGAGGCCAGGGCCACGATGACTGTTGGTCACCGGTATGTAAGGGACAGCTGCCGCCATAAGGGATGGTAAGATTATTCAAAAGCTTCTTCAGTGAGGCTAATAGGACCAATAGAGGAAGACGGCTGAAGGTAACAGGCTCTACAACTTCAAAAAGTTAGATGAGAGAAAGAAAATCCTGACCTCAGTGGATGCCTCCTCCGCCTCAGTTCAACAGGAATCTTTTAAGGAGCAGGTAACCAACTAGCGGTTTACAAGGACAAAGAGGCAACAAGACCCCGCCCTCAAGCTCTCCGGCACTCGGCTCAGTTAGTCGCTCCAGTGCATCCCCATCAGCAGGCCAGACTGAGAGTCGCTGAAGCGCGAGGCTCGGGACTGGTATCGGCTGCAGAGCAAGGCTCGCGGCACCTGGGACATGGCAGGGCAAGAGAGGGCGGTACAGCAAGCGACCTCCGCGAAGTACTGGGGAGGAAGGAATGGCGGGAACTGGAGAGGCTGCTGCAGAGCGAGCTCAAGACCCACTCACCTGGTCCACGTCGTCCGCCATCTTTCAAACCCTGCGCCCTTTCCCGCTTCTCGCGAGAACGTACAAGACTCCACTCTCCGGAAACCGGAGGCCTGAGGCACCGGAAGTAGAAAGAGTTGTTTTGATGTTTTGTCCTGTTTCCTTTCCGTAGTTTATTTATATTGGCCCTTTGGGTGAGGGCGAGGCCTTATCAAGGGAAAGGGAGTGACCTGGCTTGTCTCCGCCCAGACGGGCGCGTCGGCTGACTGGACCGTTGCATTCTGGAGGACGTCGCCCGCGGTCAACATTGCCCGGCGGCATGTCTCGGAAGCGCGCGGTGGGCAGCCGGAAGGTGGGGAATACTAGCATTGCCCAGCAAGAGGAAGCGGGTGAGAGCGAGAAGTCGTCACGGAGGGGGCGGGAGCCTGATCACAGAGGGGAAATGGGGGTCCGGGTCGGAGTGGGTGGCACGGGGGAACAAGGGACCCCAGGTTACTTGGCGTGGGTTCCACGCGCGAACTTCGCCGGGTCCCCCGGGTCTAGACGGTCTGGTGGAAGTGGCGTTGCGGTCGCCCTGCCGCCTCCCTCCAACCCATCCTCAAGCACAGGCTTCCCCGGCGGTGGTGGGCGGGCTTCCTATTGTCTCCTGGGCCGCGCAGTCGTTGATCCTTCGCGGATAAGGGGCTGGTGATATAGCTCAGGGGCACAGCGCCTTCCTGGCAAGCCCGAAGTTCTGAGTTTGATTCTCGGTATAAACAAACAAACCCACGCAGACAAGACCTGTTTCCTCTTTCACCATCTCACCCACCGCTGAAAGCAAACGTCCCTTTCAGTAGGGCACACTTCATGCTCGCCAGCAAGTCCAGCCCGAAGACTGGACCAGAGCGGCATTTCTGCAGCCACAAACTTTGTCCACCCTTCAGCACCTATCTTTCCCGCTTCCGTCTGCAAAATATTCTTTACCCAGCAGCCCAAGTGAAGCCTTTAAAAGGCATAGTTCTACTCGAAACTGCCCCGTTTCTCCAAGCATAAGCCCAGCTTCCGGAGCAAAGCGACATGCCCCTGCATGTTCTCACATGTTTGGATCCTGCCACCGCTGGTCTGTTACTGCTTTTCTTTGCTCCCATTGGCCTTCTTCCTGGCCCTTAAATCTGTCGCCTAATTTTTCACTTGAAGCCTTTCTCCACGTTCCTTTTGCTCTTCTATGGTTTTTGCTGAGGCTCATTTCTTGTGTTACTTCAGGCCTCAAGTCACCTCTGTGAGTGTCCTGACTTCCAGGACTTCACTCACACATTAGTGCTCCCCCAGATTCTCAGTCTCTAATGATCCTGTTACTTTTTTGTTGCTGGGCTAGAGGTTAAACTTGAAAAGAGCGTGACTTTTGTTTTCCTGTATTGCATATTGTTCTTCCCCTTGCTTCCTGCATAGACTTAATAAATGTCTTAAATGTAAAAAATTCAGGTTGTAAAGAAGGGCTGTCTGGATCCTCTGAAATGACTGAGTAAACGACTTGATAACTTGGAGATGCCCCAATGACATTAGAGTGTGATTTTTGTGCTGAATGTAAATTCATTGCTCATTTAGAAATCATCAGATGATTGTAATTCCTAAACGTAGGTGATATACCACACACTTAGTATGAATTTTATTTATTCTTTTGGTTAACTTAAAAATATCTGTTATATGATGTACACTGGCTAGGTTACACCACAGGTAGAGAGATTTTGGAGGCACTTAAGAGTACTGTTGACATACACTTGCATTTAAATGTCCAAGTTAGAGCATGTTCAGTATCATAGGAGAAGGTATAGGAAAAGACCTTGTACCTTTCAAAAAAGTAGTCAAATTTGACACAAAAGATTGAGAAATGCCCTCTGGAAATGCTGAACTTAATATGTACCTTTAAGGTGGATACTACTGGTATTTCACAAGAGGCTGTTTGTTAAAGGGAGTTGCTATTCCACTTGGATTGGGTTGTAGATAGGCAGTTCAAAAATTAAAGGTTTTAAGCTGGTGGAAATGCTTCCTACCATGGTAACATTTTACCTAGTCCAGTACTTCCCATGGGCACAGCTTTGTGTTGCTCTATCATTTAGTATCTATGTGCACTTGGCTAGTTACTTTGAACAAGTAGTTTATAGCCTTTGCAAGCCTCCTCTGTAGAGTGGCTGTTCAGTTTTTTATAAGGTGGGGTCTAAACCTCTACAAGGTCCATTGCAGGCAATCCGTCATTTGGCCCGTTACTTAGAGGAATGGATAGAACCAAGTTATTTTAAGAAACTGCTAAAGTTTCTGTGGCAACTTCCAACAGGCAGCACTACTTGTGGACTGAGTAGAGGAGCACAGAACTGACAGTTGTATAGGTTGCAGGTGACAACTGGGGACAGTTCAATGCAGTTTTTAACTGTAGGGGAGTGTAGATTTTAAAAGTACCCCGTGCATGTGAATGAAGGTGAGTCACAACTGCTTTGGACAAGAACAAAGAAAGTAGTAAATTAGCCATCTATTTCATTGTTGCTCTGAGGGCCCTTCTGGTTTCATCATATTTCCTTTATATTAATGTCTTGATGTAATTTATCAGCTCTTCCAGCAACTATTAAGCACCTACTGTTGCCAGAGGGTGTTCTAGATACTGAAACTCCCAAACCAGGCAGGCAAGGTCCCTCTTCTCATGATGCTTGTGATCTCTGGGGAGAGTGGGAGAGGCCAACAATAACAAGGTAAGAAAAACCAAACTCGTGTGAATAGAAATATGAAGAATACAAAACAGGCTGCCTTGTAATAAAGTGCCATAGGTGTAGGGAAAGATAACTAAATCAGAATGAGTGATTACCGCAGACCTCTGTGGGAAGGTGACATTTTCAGCCAATTGCCGAATAGAATTTTTGGCCATTTGTACAGCATTCTGGGGGAACATTTCTCTAGGCAGAGGGAATTTGGGAGAGAATGAGCTTGGCCTTCTGGCTGGATGGAATGTGGAAGCCTGAGTGGGAGGGGCTGTGATGGAGAGGGCAGGGCCCTTGCCTTGGAGACCAGGCTGGGGAATTGGAATTTTATTTTATTTTATTTATATATTTTTTGTATTTAGTACAGGATTTACAGGGTCTACAGGATTTCACTACATAGATTGGACTCATAGTGATCCTCCTGTTTTGAGCTTCTCAAGCACTGGGTTACAGGCTGGCGCCACCATGCCCAGTCTCAGTTGCCATCTCAGCATGCCCCAGGGGTGGGGCCAGCACAGCACGCCAGCGATTGAACCCTGGCTGCTGTACTGTGCCTAAGCAGGCACTTTAGTCCGCTGAGCTATCTGGCTGGCCTCTAGGGAGTTGGAATTTTATTTTATTTTTTATTTTTTTATTTTTTTGGCAGAACCGGGGATTGAGCTCAGCCCCTTGCGTTTGCCAGGGAAGCACTTTGCCAGGGAAGCACTGAGCCATCTCCCCGGCCCGCTAGAATTTTATTCTGCAGTGGATTGTTGCTAGCAGGTGTAGGCAGGCATTCTTATTAAATCGCAGTAGCTGGCCAAACAATCATAGTGGTCGTTTCTACCCTAAAATAAATAGAGCTCAGGTGTGCTCATAGGCATATTAGATAGCATTCCATCTTTGAAAGTCCTGGGAAGTAGACTGTGGATTTTCAGGGACAGGAAAACAGCAAAGAATAAAGAAAGGAAGAAACTCATCTCTGTTTTTGCCATCCAGAAATAACCACCACCAAATATTAGCCTGTTTCTTTCTTTTTTTTTTTTTAAATTAATTTATTTGTGTGTGTGTGTGTGTGTGTGTGTGACCAACTCAGCCCACCAGGGGGCAGGGCTGGCTGGCATGTGGTGCTGGGGGATTGAACCGCGGTCCCTGTGCTTTGCTAAGCTTGTTCTAAGTAGGTGCTTTAGACCACTGAGTCATTTCACCAGCCCCATAGCCTGTTTCTTTCTTACCTGTGTTTTCACCTCTAACAGAAAGCAAACTAAAAACAACTTTGCATCTTTATTGTTATATAATGTATTGTTTTCCCTTGTGTTAAAAGATGACTGGATTTCATTGCGTGATTGAACCTACTTGATGATTATCTTAGCTGGATATGCAGACTGAAAACAATTTTAGATGGTAGGGATAATTTCCTGTGAATATGTTTTTGATTTAACTTTCTTTCCCCCTCCTTTTAATCCTTCTACTTCTGCTAAACATAGAAACAACAGATGTGCTGTTTAAGCATCTAAGTAAGTTTGGTCGTAACTCTGAAGTATCTTCCTTATGTGTTGAGCTTAGTAAATCAACTATTTTACATCCTTGCTGGTTGATAAAAGGCTGGAGACCATTGTGAGGACTGCAGATCCTTATTCTAAGGCATCCTGCTCAAGAGAAAACTATCAAGTTATAAACCTTCGAGAAACCTCTAGCCTTAATAAGAAATCTTCCCAGATTCAGAATAATTTTGAAGGATTTCTTTTTTCAAAATGTTTTAGGGGGCCTGGCCCTAGCTCAGCTCTTTAAGTGGCTGCTTCCAAAAAAGCTTTCAGCCTCAGGTTGCTGTAGTTAGATTCCCACAACACTCCAGCCAGCCAAACCACCCCTGAGGGCATTCAGAGCAAAAAAAAAAAAATCCTTATTCCAAAATGTTTTCATATGTTTGTATTGCAGTGTTTCAAACATGGTACTGCACAGATTTCTTCTTCAATAAAACATTTTAAAGACACAGTAATTTAGCATTAAAACAAATGCCTCTCATGTGAACTGTAAATTATGATTTTATTTTAGAGTCCCTCTCCCACTGCAAGATATGTTCTTTAGGAATATAAATACTTGTCCAGAGAGTTAGCAGGACAAGCCATGAATAAAAGAAAGGAAATGATATTTCAGTTTAATAACATTCCATTTGGGATTTTAATAAAAAGAGTATCTTTATTTTCCAAAACTAATTCAGGCAAAGGAATGAAAAGACTAAGGAAATTGATTCATCATTTGTGTGAATATATTTGAAAAACAGGAGAATATCCACTTTGTCATATTATTTACAAATTACTAAGTTTGTTAATGCTAGTATTTACATGTAATGAAAGACCATATAAAATCAATAGTTTTTAAAATTTTAACATTTTTTTCTTTAACAAACTATAGCAGTTATTTTAAGAAAATAAAGGTAATTTTGAATTCCTGTAGGTTGAACATCCCTAATCCAAAATCTGAAATGATCTAAAATCTGAAATATGGCAAAGGATTTGGATTTCAGATTAGGAATGCTCAACCAGGAAATTCTGTGCAAACATTTCAAAATCTAAAAAGCTAGACATCTGAACGTTTTTGTCCCAAGCATTTTGGATAAGAGACAGTCTGTATTGTCTAATTCCAACCGTAAGTTTGGTTCAACCAAGATTATTGGTATATATGTGCTGCTTATGTTACATTGGAAGGCTTCTTTTTTGGGCAGGCCAAGCTCAGAATGCCTTCAGGGCAGGTTTGGCTGGCTTGAGTTGTGGGGATTGAACCACAGCCACCTGAGCCTGACTGCTTTGTTGAAGCAGCCACTTAAAGAACTGAGCTGAGGGGCAGGTCGCCTGGCAGAAGGGGTTTTTTCTTTTTTTTTTTTTTGCTGGGGGTGGGGGTGGGGTTGGAAGGCTTCTTAAGAGGCATGTTGAGAAGAATTTGGTAGAAACAGATTAGTAAAACTGAGGTGCATATATGTTGTTATATAAACTAGAAATATCACTGAAAAGGTTAAAAGGAGTAGATCACTCCTCAAATCATTTCTCTTGGCAGGCAGTAAAGAAGGTGGCAATGGGTGAATTCGGGTATTTTCCACATTACAGTTTAGCTGGAATTTAAGATTTAGAATTTGGCTGGGGCTTGTGGCGTACATCTGTAGTCCCCGCACTTGGAAGGCTGAGGCAAGCAGATTGCCACAAATTCAAGTCTAGCCTGAACTACATAGTGAATGAAGCCTGAGCTATATATATAATAAGACCCTGTCTCAAAAACAAAAACATGCCTGGCATGGTGATGAATGTCTGTAGTCCCAGCACTTGGGAGGCTGAGACAAGAGGATCACTGTGTGTCAGCCTGGATTACATAGCAAAACCCTGTCTCAAAAAAACAAAAACAAAACAAAAGAACAATTTAGATTATATTTGAGTTGTTTGAGGATTTCTGTAGTCTTAAAGTGAAATAAAAATACTGGCGCAGCAGGACAGCACTTGCCTAGCACATCCAACCCCCTCACCCTCATTACAGAAGAGGGGATTCTGGGGCCAGGGAGATAGTTTTTTGGTCTAAGCACCAGCCTAGCAAGCTTAGGGCCTTGGGTTCAATCCCTGGTACCACATGCTGTCCACCCCACCCCCTGCCAGCTACGGAAACGACATGGTGGCCCAAGCCTATAATCCCAATGCTAGGAAGGCTGAGACAGGAGAGGAGGATCACTACAAGTCTGGGTTGTGTAGTAAGATCTTGTATTAATACATACATGAATAAATAAACGAAAGATTAAAAACTAATAAAACTTTTTTTTTTTTTTTTTGGCTGAACTGGGGATTGAACTCAGGCCCTTGTGCTTGCCAGGGAAGTGCTTCTTCCACTGAGCCGTCTCCCCGGCCTCTAAAACATATTTTTTAAAAAGGTGATTGTTACTGTGAACATGGATAAGATGACTGGGTACAAATGGGGAGAGACTGAAAGCCAGTTGCTCTGCAGACACAGGATAATGAGTTGGTTAGAGATGTGGTTGGAAAGAGGTCGTGGAGCTTCTTTATGAGCCTGCCTGTCAGCCACACTGCCTCTGTCTTTCTGTTTCCTCACTTCTTATTCCCTGTGGCCACCTAGATGTCTTTGAAGATAAGAAAATAAGACACCGAAAGAAGAGCCTGCGCTCAAAAGTTTCACAAGGAAAGAGGAAGAGAGGTTCCGGTGATCCTGGGGGCCCTGTAGATGGTCCAGTAAAAAAGAAAGTGACTAAGGTGACTGTTAAATCTGAAAACCTCAAGGTGATAAAGGATGAAGCCCTCAGCGATGGGGAAGATCTCAGGTGAGATGGCAAAAAGCATCAGACCCACGTTGCTTATTCTAATCAGAGAACCCATTCTTGCTTGTTGCTGCAATTTGGGGAGCAGGAAGGGTCTTTAAATTCTTCAGACCAGAAAGTGCTGGAAAGTCTCCTGTGTGCAGTGATGGCTTGCAGACAGTGCATTTACTCTAGTGCTGCAGCTGAATGGTGACAACTCTGGGAAGAGAGCCAGATCAGCAGCTTGTGGTGCTCTTTAGACTGCACAGATATGGTGGATATATACAAGGTATTTACTGCTGCTCTAGCACAGTCCAGTACCCCCTCTGCAAACTCACACTCCTCAGTGTTCACCCAGTACATCATTGTACTTCACCATACCTGCATTGTGTACATACTTTTTGCCTTCTGCCTGGGATGCTTTTTTTGTGTCTTGGAGACCCGTCTCTGAAGCCATCTGCTCTAGAGTTTTCTTTGTTTCCTTCTGCTTTCTCCTCTGAGTTCCCACCATCTTTCTGAAGAGTAAATGTGTCTACTAGGTATTACAGTTATTTGGTACCCTATGCATGGGCCCAGGCCTCCTCAAAACTCTCCAAGGCTGGAACCACCTGTGGTTCGTTTTCCCAGACCTGTGGCATTTTGGCCTGGACCTCTTGTTTTGTGTGTGCTGAGTATTTTGCAGTATGATCCTTCACATTAATGTGGTGCATCAGGAATGTGAGCCTAGCTGATTATGCTAGAGGCAGAGGAAAAGCAGAAAGGTACAATAGTAGGTTCTTTGTCCATGCTCCAGCTTGGAGAGCCTGCTATTGCAGAGCCTGTGATCCTGGGGCTCAAAAGAGTATCCAGCAGAGGGCAGTGGTGGAAAGGAGCAGGGCCAGCAGGCGGCTTGGTTTGGCTCAGTAACTTCTCTGTCCTCGTAGACTTTGCTCACCTAGTAGTTGAAGTCCCTCTCCAGAGATAGCTTCTCAGAGATAGACTTGGGTGCTGCCATGGACAACTCTGATCCTTCTTGCTGTCACCTGAGAGCCAGTGGTCAATCCCTTAGCACATGGACATTCTTGTGTTTGTTGTGAAGGGGACAGTTAATATGGTATTCAAGAAAGTGGCAGGCCAAAAAAAAAAAGGGTATACATTACTAGAGTTGAAGGCTAGGATTGGTTATTTTACATGTGCTAAAATTTTTGCTGTTGGGTGTCATCAGTCTTTACACAAGCTCAAAGTAACTTGGCTAATATGTGGCTCTGGTTTCAATCCCCAATACCACAGACAAAAAGTTAAAAAGTAACTCAGAGCTCTAGACACATTTATATAGGAATTTGGAGAAGTATATTATACATACTAACAGCTGTTTAGACTTGAGCTATTGTTTACCTAGCTACTTACATATGCAGTAGCTACTTAATTAGCTAATTGTCCGTGCTTTTATTATATCTTATATCATATAATTTATATTATATTATATATAATATATCATAGTATAAACATATTATGATATGTATATGTTTATTTAGTCATAACCTCATTTTTTTTTTTTTCCTGTTGGGAATGCAACTCAGGACTTAGTACTTGTCAGGCAGGCGCTATGCCTCTGAGCTGTCTACATAACTGAGCCTCACTTACCTTGAAGCTAAGTGTTCTACTAACTTTAGCTTCCTTAAGTCTATTTTTATTTTGTTTTTTGAGACAGCATCTGGCTATGTAGTCCAGACTGGCCTTGAATTCACTATGTATGTAACCAGCCTGACCTCAAACTCACAATCCTCCTGCCTCAGTCTCCCGAGGGCTGAGATTGTAGGAGTGTACCACGATGCTCAGCCTTCCTTACATCATATTTTTCAGTGTGGAAAGAAAACCTGAATTGGTTCTTAGGTGGATGAGTCAGTGCAAATTCTTTCATTTGTAACTTCCAGTTGCACATAAGTACACTAGCTATCACAGCTTTTGGATCTGGAACTCATGTTGGTTTTTTTTTTGTTTTCTTTTGTTTTTGTATAGGCTCTACAGGGTCTCACTACACAGATCAGACTCATAGTGATTCTCCTGTTTTCAGTCTCCCAAGTGCTGGGATTACAGGCGCATGTCACCACGTTCCATCTCAACTGTTTCTCAGCGTACCCCGGGGGTGGGGCCAGCACTGCATGCTGGTGATCGAACTCCAGGCCCTGTGCTCTCCCTAAGCAGGCGCTTTAATCCACTGAGCTATCTGGCTGTCCCTTGGAATTCATATTGTTACTGTGGCTTCTGTGAAGCCCGCATACAACATGTCCAGACATAACTGTATTTTCCTGCACAAAGGTTTGTAGGCGATAGGTTTCGTGTTTCAGTGAGATAATACACGGTAATCAGAGCATGTTTTGATGAGATTTTGAAAGCCTCACTAATGGAGGAAAAGTGGTCCACACTCACCATCTTTCCATGTGATGACAGTGGAATCTCAACAAAAGAAAACAGAGGGGTGAGTTTTTAAAATGTATGTATGTATGTGGCCTGAAAGTTCTTTTCTTCTTTGCTGTCATCTCCACCAGGGACTTTTCACATGACCTCAAGAAGGCACAGCGTCCAAAAAGAGAGGTTGCTGTGGACAAAGGCCATGATGAGGGAGATGAGGAAGAAAGTGAAGATGACTGGGAAGAGGTTGAAGGTGAGGTGTCTTTCTTCACTTTAGTGCAGTCCAGTTGTTTTCTTTATAGAAACTGATAAAACCTAAGACTGAAGAGAAGATTTCAGTAGAAAGTTCCTTTTTTTGTTGAACCCAGAGGATATACCACTGTGCTGTATATATCCACCCCTTTTTAATTTGAGATAGGGGCTTGCTAAGTTGTCCAGGCTGGCCCTGAACTTGCCATCCTCCATTCTAACCTCCCAAGTAGCTGTGATTACGAAGATGCACAACTGTGCCAGGCAGAACTTGCTTTGATGTAAGGAGAACTCTGTGAGCAAGATACCAAAGAAGGTGCCACATTGTCTTGCTCTGGTGACTGTCAAAGGGGAAGCTGTGAATAGAGAGGCAGTTTTGGAGTAATCAGGCCTAGTGCAGAGCCTAGCTTCATCTGGTATAAAGCTGCCTGAGCAGGAACTTCACTTTCCTAAGCCCAGCTTTTTCATGGGTAGTGTTCTGTAAACACTGTACCTAGAGTTTGTACTTTAGGTTTAAGACTATTGTAGGAAAAAAATGTTTGGAAATGTAAGAGCCTGGGGCATCATATGGTCAATGAATAGCAGCTAATGTGATCATTCCTGATTTCTTCTGTGGAGTGTGATTTTTTTTTTTTTTTTCAGTGTCTTACTTTCAAAGTAAACTTACAGAAAACTGAATTTTTGGAAAGTCTTTTTACCTAAGTTTGTCAACTCTCACTTGTTGTGGGATCATTTGAAAATAAGTTGCAGATACCCTGCCGCTGCTTCTGAACTCACCATGCCTGAAACGTTATCATAGTTAAGAAAATAAAAGTAAGTTCCCAGTTCTATGCTGGACATGGAGGTGCACACCTGTAATACCAGCACTGGGGAGGCTGAGACAGAAGGATTGCTATGAGTTTAAGGCCAGCCTGGGCTACATAGTGAGTTTGAGACCATCCTGAACTACATAGTGATACTGTTTCCACTCTCCATGACAAAAAGAAAAAATTAAACTAAAACCAAAAATATCTCTGTAGTTATACCTTTGTCCTTTTAATAATTCATGATTCAGTGGGTCTGTAAGCCTTGTATTTGGTCATTGTGTCTTTTTACTCTTTAAATCCAGAACTGGGAACTGGTGAGATGGCTTAGTGGTCTAAAGCACCTACTTAGAACAAGCTTAGCAAAGCACAGGGACCACGGTTCAATCCCCCAGCACCACATGCCAGCCAGCCCCGCCCCCTGGTGGGCTGAGCTGGCCATACACACACACACACACAAATAAATAAATTTAAAATAAATAAATAAATCCAGAACTGTATGGGGGTGGGGACTTAGACATGTATTGTTTTATAGTGCTTTACCACTGATTCACACCCCCAGCCCTATTTGTTTCTTTATTTTGAAATGGGGTCTTGTTAAATTGCTCATACGTCAATGACCTTTATATTTCTTATAAACATAAGTCGATTTGATTCACATTAATTATTTTTCTACTTTTTTGGGGGGTGGGGCAGAACTGGGGATTGAACTCAGGCCCTTGTGCTTGCCGGGCAAGCCCTTATTCTACTGAGCTATCTCCCCGGCCCTATTTTTCTTCTTACATAAGAAGGTGTAAGAAGTGGTGCATTATGCTGGTGTACCTACGTAGTGCATTATGCTCATTGCATCTGTTAAGATTCATCTGAGAGAAAAAAAAAAGATTTCATCTGACTTGTTGAAGTTCAGTTTGTGTGAACTGTGCCACCCACTGCGTATTTTGACATTGTCTCATTAGTTTTGGAGACCATTTTTGCTCTCTGGCACAAGGTTTTCCAGGTTTATCATTACTTTCCTTGGTCCAAACCTGGAATCAGGCCTTCTTTCCTAGAAGCTATGATTCATTGTATTTTTGTTTTTCTAATGTTTACAGAAAGCAACTATGCTTCCACTTCATTGAAGCACAAGAAAACAAAACGCATCAGTTACAAGAGTATTAAAATATAAAATAGTGGTAAATCTCACCAGTATTTAAAAGATCTATATATAGAAAGCTAGAAAATATTACAGAGAAATTAAAAATTTCTAGGAACATTTTAACATGAAACACTTGAAGATAACGCTTTTCTATGAATATCCAAGAGACTTAAAATCATTCAAACCATTTTGAAAAGAAAAACTTTGGAAGGCTAACATGATATAACTTCCAGAATTAATACATGTTTATAATATCTTATTTTTTCTTTTTTCTTATTTGTTCTTTCAACTTTTCACACTACGGAGACAATATGATGCTTGCACATAGGAATATGATTTATCTCACTATGAGTATGGACTCAGGTTGCGTCTGTTTACCTATATGAGTTTCCAGTTTATTCTTTTTTTATAGCAGAGTATTATTCCATTATATGCCAAACCCACATCTTTTTTCCATTCCTTAGTTGATGGGCCTTTGGGTTGCTTCCACAACTTTGCTGTTACAAATTGTGATGCTATAGGGTTCATGTATATCGATTGCTGTGGTAGGATGACTTTAATTCTTCTGGGAGAAATACCCGGAAGAGAAATACTTGGGCCAAATGGGACTTCTAATCCTAGTTTTTTGAGAAATCTCCATGCTAATTTCCTCAGTATTATGTCAGTCTACACTCCAAGCAACAGTGGAGAAGGGTTCTTTTTTTTCCCCACAGTCCCTTCGCACTGTTGCTGGTTGATTTCTTGATGATAACCATTCTTTCTGGAGTGAGATGGAATCTCACTGTTGGTTTAATTTGTATTTTTTGAATGGCCAATGATATGAGAACGTTTTTCCCCACATTTGTGAGTTGTCTCTTGACTTTTTTTAATTCTCTCTCTTTTTTAAAAAATGTATTTTAGTAGAGAGTCTACATGGTCTCACTACACAGATTAGACTCATAGTGATCTTCCTGTTTTCAGCTTCCCAAACACTGGGATTACAGGCGTGCGCTGCCATGCTCGGTCTCAATTGGAGCCACTGCAGTGTGCCCCGGAGGTGGGGTTGGCACAGCTTGTGATGCCTGGGATTGAACCCCTGGTACCTGCGTTCTGCTTAAGCAGACACTTTAGTACACTGAGCTATTTGGCCAGCCCTTATCTCTTGACTCTTGTTGTGCAAAAGCTTTTTAATAAGATGAAATCCCAGTTAATTCTTTGTGGTAGTTCTTATGCAGTCAGGGTTTCATTCATAAAATCTTTGCTTACACTAGTGTCTTCAAGAGTTTCACCTATTCTGCCTTCCAAAAGATTTAATGTCTCTTTTAATAATTTAATTTTAGTTCTGGTTCATTTTATTTTATTTTTTTGGCAGAACTGGGGATTGAACTCAGGCGCTTGCGCTTGCCAGGGAAGTGCTTATTCTACTGAGCCATCATCCCCGGCTCCTCTGGTGCATTTTAGTAGCGACTGTATATAGAAACAGTTTTGTCATCCATGTGTTCCTTGCCAACAAGGTGTCCTTCTCTTGTTTAGTCAGAATTCTTTATTTTATTTTATTTTTTGGCTGAACCAGGGACTGAACTCAGACCCTTGCACTTGCCAGGGAAGCGCTTATTCTACTGAGCCATCTCCCTGGCCCAGTCAGAATTCCTTAAAAAGTCTTTTTGCTAGTGGAGTCTCCAGATGGATCCAGGCAGATAAATTCCATTTCTTTCAACTAGTGAGACAAGCCATGTTGGGGGACAGTGTGATGAGGATTTGAGAAAGATGTATTCAGGTTACAGGTTTCTATCTGAGAGTGGAAGATAGACATTGTCTCAGTTACTCTTCTCGTATTGGTGGGACAAAATTCCTGACACCCAAAATTAAGAAAGGAAAGATTGGGTCCGGGGAGATAGCTCAGTTGAATAAGCACTTGCCTGCAAGCACAAGGGCCTGAGTTCAATCCCCAGTTCCACAAAAAATAAAAATAAAAAAGAAAGGAAAGGTTTATTTAACTCACAGTTAATGGAGGTTTCAGTCTGCTGGCTCCAAGGCAGACAGCAGTTCATGGCGCAGAAAACAAGAGCAAAGGGAGGAGATGCAGGCGCAGCTTCTAGCAAGCCTCTCTACTTCCTTCCACACTGACTGTGAAGACCAGTGCTCCTCCAAGGAAAGTGGCATGGCTGCAAAGATTAAACACATCTGAGGAAGGAACATGCAGAATCCTTTCCCAGGCAGATTAGGGTGTAGAGTCGCTGAACTGATCCATCCAAGCTTCCTACCCCTCAAGTTGCTACAATGTATCAACTACCGCAGACACCTAAAACAATTCTAGGTGGAGCAAATTGTGATCAGTGTTACTGTAGTAATACACTAGATTGTTCTTAATTTGTTTTGAAAAAGCATGTTCTTGGATGTTGACTCTTTGATGGCAAGGCCTGTATTTAATTCAACTCAGTATCTATGCTTCAGTTTCAGTCATCTAAGGACTATCAGGGCTAAATGGGATGAATGAATGTAATGCACTTAGTGCAGAGCCTGCATAGGAACTCAAACCTGGTATAAGTACTCATGCCACTGTGGACCTTAAGTCCATTCCTTCCTTCTCCTTCCCAGCAGGACTTCAATCTTGTTCAGGGTATTAACTATTATTACTACTGTTACTTGATTTCTAAAAATTATTGTTGCTAGAACTTAGTGGGACTCTACCCGATGACGCAGGAGAAAGTTCAGCCTCTCAATCTGTTCTGCCTCTGAAGCCAGTGGAGATAGAGATTGAAACGCCAGAACAGGCGAAAACAAGAGAAAGAAGGTAAGGTTCCAGGTTCCTGTTCTATGTCATGGGCCGTAGGGACACTCAGTGGAAACTTGTGATGAAAATACAGGGGACACAGCTGATTACACAGTGGTCAGGAACTCTGGAGAGAGCGCTTGGGCTTCCCTTCAGACTTTGTGCTGGCTGGGGTAGAGGTGAGAGAGGGCTCTTCTGTGTGCCAGGGGTAGTCATCCAGTGTCTAAAACAATTCTAAGTAGAGCAAATTGTGATCAGTGTTAATGTAGTAATACACTAGATTGTCCTTAGCTTGATTCTTAACCTAGTCCTCAGTGCAGCACCAGAGATGAGGAGCAAGGGCTTAGATGACACTGCCAGGGCCACCAGCCAGCAAGTGGACTCAGTGGTGTGCATGCTTTTTCCTAGCACTTTCTGCTCCAGGACTTATGACAGTGCCCACTATATCAGAGGCTTCAGTCTGTTCCAGGATTCCCAGGACCTCCGCAGCATCCAAGATGGCTTATAAGATGTAGCATGAATCCTATTGGGTAGCCTATAGCTTCCACAGTATCCTGGGACCATTATTAGGCAGAGAGGAGGGAGATGATAACATTCAGGAAGCCTCAGGTTTCCTTGAGATAAAAGATTTTGCCCTGGAGTAATGTCTTTATTAACATGGAGATAATGCTTCCAAAGGAGGGAGTCAGCAGTCTAGGATGAACAGAGAAGCTTTCCTGGAGGAAGTGAGTTTGGAGGCGTGGAAGTATGTTTGTGAGGTGTGGTGGTGCAGATAAAAGCCCGAGTCTGGGTGAAGTCCTGGCTCGGGTTTGCAGGTGAGAAGAATGTTCAGGATTGCTCAGTAGCACAATCTTGGCAGGAAAGCAGAACGTAGGCTCCCATGTCACAGTGAGCAGGAAGCATGACCAGGAACGTGGAGTGGCTCACTCTCCCACCTCATTCTCAGGTTCTCTCTCTGCCTTACAGGGAGAAAATAAAAATGGAGTTTGAGTCCTGTCTTCGGAGGATGATGAAGCGTTTTAGTAAGGAAGTCCATGAGAATACACACAAGGTAAGGATGGAAAGGGGAAGGGAAGGACAGGATTTCTCTGCAGTGCAGAGTCGGGTGCTCAGTCAGTTGAGCCTAGGCTTTATCTCTGGTTCTGCTTTGTGCAAGGTGACCTTGGCAGCTGGCTTTTTTCTTTTACTGGCAGTACTGGGGAGTGAACCCAAGACTTTCACATTGTGCTGCATCCCCAGCCCTTTATTATTAGTGTCTCATTCTCTCTCAGCTTTTTGTCTTCTTACTTGTGAAGTAGAAGCTGATTGTGCTGCCCAGTTTGGAGGGCGCTATGAGAATCAGGCCATATTCTACATAAAGTAGCTTGTAGTACAGTGCTTGACGAGCACCAGGGCTCAGTAACAGGTATTCATATCCCATTTCCTGTTCCAGCCATGTAATAACCTTGGTTCTGAGTGTAGTGGAAAGTCTGTGCTCATGGCCCTTGCTGGTACCGAACTTTCATACAGACCTGGTCCACTTGTGGGGAATGAGAATTGCATAGGTTATTCCCAGAACAAAAGTCCAGAATCTGACATGCTGCATAACTGAAAATTTTTTTGCTTTCTATTTGGGGGTTGGGGCTAGTAAGGATCTTGCTGTGTGATTCACGCTGACATTGAACTCATGGAGATCCTCTTGCCTCAGTCTCCTGGGTCCTGGTATTGCCTCAGGTAGGCACCACCACACTTGGCTAAAAAAAACCCTTAAACTTTTTAAGTTTTTCAGATTTTGAAGCATTTTGATTTTGGCTTGGAATTAGAGATGTTCAGCTAGTCAGAGTCTATTCACTTATTCCAAAATCTGAAGAAAAAAAAAGTCTGAAATACTTGAGGCCCAGGCATGTCAGCTAAGGGACACCCAGCCTGCATTTCCTACAGTGAGGAGACCATGGGCTCAGCAGAGGAGTGAGAGGACTTCAGAACAGGAGTTAGTGTGGTGCTCAGCAGTGGAGAACTGACCAGGGGTGTGAAGTGTTCTGGTAGGAGCCAGGTGGAGGGCCAGGAGAAGCTGTGGGGCACTGCGTGGAGCAGGAGGGCTGGCATGGGTGGAAGAGATACCAGTCCTACAGCCGCCACAGACACCCACTTCCAGAGCCTGGGGTTAAATATGACGGCTTTGTCTCTGTCATCTCATGGTGGGGCTGTAGATGGACGAAAGAAAATCCGAGGTGACTAAGGTTTGAATCTTGCATGAGGGGAAGGCAGCAGCATTAGTGAAAATAGACTGTTAAGAGAGAAAGAAGACCGATTTTGACAGGAAAATGACACAAGGTGTATATGGGAAGGGAAAGACAGCCATAATATTTTAGTAGGTAGACATGCTGGGGTGGTGAGGGAATGGAGGTGCAGGGTGTTGTCAGAGGGGGCAGAGGAGTTGGTCAGATGCACCCTGCGGTGGAAACAGTGCCATTGAGGGCCCACCCTCCCTGAATCCACAGCTTTTTTATGTCCTCTATCCCCATACCCTTCCTCTGACCTCACAGGAACAGCCCCCAACACTGAATGTTTCTCCTGACCTGTCTAGGACAAGGCCTCCAAAGGAATAGTGTGTATTTCAAGTTTGCAGGTTGGATGATTTTTTCAAGGGAATGAGTATATGGAGAGAAAAAGGGTGAAGATGTACAGTCTTGTACAATGGTTCGTGCTGGTGTTTCTATTTCATTGTGTGGCACTAAGCACTTCCTGCCTGCAAACCTCTCATATGGTGACCCAGCCTCAGCTAGTTTCTGGCCTGCCTGCCTTCTCTTCCCTCTGCAGGTTCACCTGCTGTGCCTCCTGGCAAATGGCTTCTACCGAAATGCTGTGTGCAGCCAACCAGACCTGCTAGCCATTGGCCTCTCCATTGTCCCAGCTCGTTTCACCAGGGTACCACCTCAAGATGTGGACTTGAGCTACCTCTGCAACCTGGTAAAGTGGTAAGGTCCTATGCCTGTTGCAGAGGTAGGGTGTTTCGGATGCTTGGCCCAGGTGCTCAGGGTAGGGAAATGATGGGGAACAGGACAGGCAGAATCCCTGGCAGGCTAGGGGGTTGTCCCAGCAGGCAACATCTGGATGGGGTTTCCATGCTGATAGGCATTAGCTCCATACGCTCTGAAGAGCAGGGCCGGTCAGGCCTGCCCTGATTTGACCCCTCCCCTTTTGGTTGTCTTGGCTGTGAACAAATAGAAATTGCCCTTCACTCTCACCACTGTACAGGGGGTGCCTGGTTTCTCCCCAGGTTCATTGGAACATTTACTGTTAATGCGGACCTTTCAGTGCCTGAGCAAGGTAGCCTGCAGACCACACTGGAAAGGAGATTCGCTATTTATTCAGCACGAGATGAAGAAGAATTGGTTCATGTAAGTGACCCTTTGGGTGGCACTGTTAACTGATGGTAGTGAACATGGATTTTATCCCTAGGGGATCCATTTAATCTGTGTGCTTACATTTGGGATCCCCAGATTCCCTGCTTGGAGACAGAGACCAGACTTCTTATGTATGTGGGGGTCAAATGACCAGTGTCTTGGTCTCCTGACTCCGTTTTGAGGAGCCTGGGGTATCTGCAAGTACATCAGTGCTGTGGTACGAACACCCAGAGAAAACCATTAACATTTAGGGTCGTCCTGTTGAGTTTATTTCTGTGTGTGTGTGTATTTTTGCAGAACCAGTGATTGGACTCAGGCCCTTGCACTTGCCAGGCAAGCGCTTATTCAATTGAGCTATCTCCCCAGCCCCTATTTGTTTTCTTGTTTTTCTGTTTTAAAGCAAAAGTGGGAGCTTACAGTGTATTTTTATTTTTTAATTTTTTTTGGCAGAACTGGGGATTGAACTCAGGCCCTTGTGCTTGCCAGGGAAGCACTTATTCTACCAAGCCATCTCCCCGGCCCCAGATTTTTGAAAAGAGCAAATTTATTGACCATTGAGTATAGTCAGAATTGTGCAGCCACCACCTCTATCTCCAGAATGTTTGTATCACCCCAAGGGAAACCTCATGTGTACCTATGAAACACACCTTCATTGCCATCCCTTTCCTCCTGCTTTGTGTGGCAAGCACCAGCCAGTTTGCTCTCTGTCTCTGGATTGTCCTAATCTGAGTATTTCATATAAAAGAAATACAACGTGTGGCTTTCTGTCTTTTACTTCACATAATGGTTTCAGGGTTCATCTGCAGTGTATCAGAATTTTACTTTTATTCATGGCTGAATAACATTTCAGTGCACGTATATATTGCGTTTTGTTTATCCATTCATGGACATCTTAGGTGGTTTCCAGCTCTTCACTATTGTGAAGGGTGCATGTCCATATGTACATTTATTTGAGTACCTACTTTCAGTTCACTTGAGAATGTACTTGGGATGTGCTGGGCCACATGGCACGTTGTGTAACTTCCTGAGGAGCTGTCACGCTGCTTCCTGCAGTTGCTGCCTAATTTATGGTCCCACCAGCAATGAGCAAGGGCTCCCATCCTCCAGATCCTCGCCACACTCCTTACAGTCTGCGTCTTTGGTTCCAGCCATTCTAGTGAGTGTCAGGGTTGTGTCATTCTGATTCTGATTTGCATTCCCATGACTGATGAGGATGCTTGTCCTTAGTGGGCTTTCAGCTATATGTCCACAGTGGAGAGATTTCCCTGCGGACCCTTGCCACTTTTAAACTAAGTTGGCAGCTGTTCAAGTGGGAGAGCGCCTTTACACAGCCCCTCTCGCTGCTTTACAGATGTCTCCTCCCATTCTGGAGGTTGTCTTTCATGAAACACTGTGATACACAAGAGATTTTTGTTTTGATAAAGTCCTCCTTCCCTATTTTTACTTTGTCATTTGTTTTTGGTGTCGTATCTAAGAGTTCACTGCCAAAACCAAAGTTGTGAAGACTGACACTTTTTTTTTGGACAGGGTGTACAGGGTCTCGCTGCATAGATCAGGCTCGTAGTGATGCTCCTATTTACAGCTTTTCAAATGCTGGGATTACAGGCGTGCGCCACCATGCCCAGTCTCAATCACCATCTCAGCACACTCCGGGGGCGAGGCTGGCAAGGCAGACCTGGGGATTGAACTCTTGGCCCCATGTCTGCCTAAGCAGGCGCTTTAATCCGCTGAGCTATTTGGTCGGCCCATAAGACTCACACCTATATTTTTTTCCTAAACATTCTTTTAAGTGAACATCCAGTTGTCCCAGCATTCTCTGTTGAAGAAACCACTGTTTTAGGCCAGGGAGATGGCTCAATAGAATAAGCGTTTCCCTGTCAAGGGCAAGGGCCTGAGTTCAATCCCGGGTTCTGCCAAAAGAAAGAAAGAAGCCACTGTTTTGACCTTTTATATCATTTTCATGGTTAGTATTATGGCTTGTATCTAGATGTCCTCCAAAAGCCTCATGTGGTCATAGGTGGGGCTTTTTAGAGGTGGCTGGTTCTAGGGTGTATGATGCTGATGAGATCAAGGGTGTGGGATTACTAAATTAGTCCACTAATTAGTCTGGCATTGTTCTGGCTAGAATCAAAGTTGCCTCACCCTGGGACTATGCTACCTGCAATGAGCAAGGGTTGTTTCTTGCTGCTGCTTCTGTTTCACTGCTTTATAGCTTTGCTGTCTTCTGCCCACCATGAACTGTTTCTCCTCTGTGATGCCCCTCTGCCCTGCCGTCCTGCCTTGGAGCCTGCCAACTGTGAACTGAAGCCTCTACAAAAATGTGAGCCTGGGAAGATAGCGCAGCAGTCTTAAGTGCCTGCCTGACAAACACAAGGACCCAGGTCTAATCCCTGATACCACATGCCATGCCGGCACCATGCTGAGCCGGCCACCAAAACTGGCATGGTGGCATATGCCTATAGTCCCAGTGCTGGGGAGGATGAGAAAGGATCATTATGAGTTTGAGCTGCATAGTGAGACCCTGTACCAAAGAAAGAAAGAAAGAAGAGAAAGGGAAAGGGAAGGAAGAGAAGAAAGAAATTTTATTTTTAAAATTTTTTTTTAAATTTTTTTATTTATTTGAGAGAGAGAGAGAGAGTGTGTGTGGTGTGTGTGTGTGGCCAGCTCAGCCCACCAGGGGGCGGGGCTGGCTGGCATGTGGTGCTGGGGGATTGAACCGCGGTCCCTGATGCTTTGCTAAGCTAGTTCTAAGTAGGTGCTTTAGACCACTGAGCCATCTCTCCAGCCCCAAAATTTTTTTTAAAGATGAGCTACAATAAACCAAAATTTCCTCCTTTACTTTGGGTTTTCAGTATTTGTCTCAGCAATGAGAAAAGTAGCTAAGACAGTTGGTTACTGAAACTAATTTCTTAGTGGGATTGGTGCTTTTGGCCCTCATTAAAAATCTGCTGGGTTCCTCTCTGTCCCCTGTTCTGTTGGTCTGCACTCTTCTTCATGCCAGCACTGCACTGATACTATAGATTTGAATAGTGTTGTGTTCTTCATGGCCAGTACTGCTTTGGTTGTGGGGTTCCTCTGGAGTTCCACGTGAATTAGATGGTCTGCATTTTTATTTCTGTGATAAACCTTGATGGAGTTTTGATAGTGATTGCATTGAGTCTGTGGATTGATGTGGGCAGCTTTGCTGTCTGGTGGTACAGGCAGTCCTCGTTTAATGACCAAGTATCCTATGGCTAGGTCATTAAATGAATTGGTCATTAAGTGAGGAGTTGTATAAAGTATGTACATTACAATATGCAGCACAAAGATATACTTAAAGGAAATCAACTTCTATTTACGTAATACTTCCATATACTATAGTATATAGCAGAACATAAAATTACAGGTCTCTACTGTACTATATGTTACAATGAGCAAAAATTATAGCACTATATCAACAAGGTGTACTGTATAAAACAGACATTGAGGTTCCATAAACAAAATGTACAGAACTGTACAAAAAAAAAAAAAGAGACAAGTTGTCAGTTTGAGTACTAGGACGTAAGTCTCACAGCATGCCTTGGTCATAAGTCCAAACAGATGTGAAACAAAGAATAGCAGTAGTAAGTTTTCCAGTTCATAAATATGACATCTCTCCTTATATTTGTGTCTCTAATTTCTTTGAAATCTTTCCCTTTTGTTTCTATTTTTGCTATTATTGTTCTGTTTTGTTTTTTGGTTCTAGGGAGTAAACCCAGGGCCTCACATGTTAAATGTGCACTCTGCCATGAACCACACCCCTACCCTTAAAAAGAAAATTGAATCTTTTCTTGCCCTTGTACCCACAGTGTGCTGAATTTTTGTTGTGGCTCTAGCAGCTTTCTTGTGCATTCTTTGGATTTCCTGTGTGTAGGATCCTGTCATTTGTGAGTAGCCATGATTTTACTATTTCTTTTCCACGTTGCATGCCTTTTGTCGTTTTCTTGCTTAATTGGTCTGGCTGGGACTTCACTGACTCATTACCTTGTTTCCGAGTTAAGATAAGGGAAACTTTCAATCTTTAAGCATTGTGGTTTCATCAAAGCCCTCTACCATGTTGAGAACGTTCCCTTCTATTCCTGGTTTCCAAATGTTTATATCATAAGAACATACTGGATTTTGTCAGATGTTGCTTGTGTTAGCTCAGCTGACCTATAGTTTTTCCTCCCTTTACATTAGTAGTGTGGTGTATTACACTGATGGAGTTTCTTATGTTGAGCCACCTTTGAATTCCCAGAAGTTCCACTTGCTCATTCCCCCCAACCCCGTTTTTTTTTTCTGGTTGACATTTTATTATTTTAAAATTAATTTCATTCTTATTTCACAAGTCAAATTTACTGATGTTTTATAACATTTATTTTTTTTTCTTTTCAAAGTTTTATTGATAAACATATAGCAATGAGACAGTTTCAAATCAAATCGAAAGCACAGTTTCAACAAATAATACACTGCATATATTCTTCTGTTTTATAACATTTAAATGTAGCAATTCAGAAATGGCAGCACAGCCCATAAGTCTATAACTGACATTAAACTCTCCTTGTACAACACTTGAGATCTTCACAAACATGGTTCTATGCTCATTCCCCTTTTAATATGTTGTTGGATTAGGTTTGCTCTAAATTTGACGTGGATTTTTACATCTAAATTTGTAAGGTACATTGGACTGCTATTTCCTTATATTGCCTTTATCTGGTTTTGGTATCAGAATAATGATGCTTTATAGAATGAGTTAGAAAATGTTCCCCTTTTTGTTTGGAAAAGTTCATGAAAGAATGATGTTGATTGTTCTGTCTGTTGGTACTCAACAGTGAAGTTGTGCGGACCTGCACATTGCTGTGTTGGGGATTTTTTCTATTTTGACTCAGTCTGCTGCTAGAAGTCTGTTCAGATTTTTCTTTCTTCTTGCGACACATTTGGTAGTTATGCTTCTAGGCATTTCTTTTCTCCTAGATTATCTAATCTTTTGGCACAGGGATTGCATGGTTTCATAACCTGGTTTTTTCACCCTCAGCAGTGCACACTGACAGAGTGCTTGTCAGAGGTGGTGACTGTTAGTGCCTGGGCAGCAGCAGGCTGTTTCCAGAGCACTGTCACACCATTCTCTTATGTCTTGCTCCTAGTCCTGGGAAGAAGACAAGGCAAGGATAATTACAGGTGAAGTAGCCTATCTCACTCAGCTTGTGGCTGACACTCAGCTGTCCAGACTCTCAATCTGTGCTCCTGTGCTGGGCTCTGCTCCCAGAAGCTGAGACATGACTGTTGGTGCGACAGTGTCAGACCATAGACATCAGTTAGATAGCCCATGTTTCCCAGTGGTGTCCCTTTTCTGTTCGAGGCTGTGTGTTGTATGTAGTGGCCATGTCACCTCAGTCTTCTCCAGGTTGTGATGCTTTTTTGTTCTTTCCTTGCCTTTCATTACCTTTGTACTTTGTGACTCAGAAGAAATAACCCAAAATAATTATTTTTCAAGCTATAGCATGACTTCTAACCTTCCTTCCTCTAATTTTCACTGCTAACTAACTTTCTAGGGTATCATAGTGTATTAGTCAGCTTTCCTGTTGCTGGAACAAAGTACCTGAACCTTAGGGGGAGAGGTTTACTTGGTTCTCAGTCTCAGCCTGTGGGCAGCTGGCTCCAAGGCAGGAAGAGGATGGCAGAGGGGCCTGGTGGTAAAGGTGCTAAGCCTGCTGCAGCCAGGAAGCAGAGAGGGAAGGGAAGATTGAGGACAAGAACCCAGCCTCCCGGGTCACACACCCACTGACAGCCTCTAACCAGGCCTCGCCTCCTACCACTGTGCTCAGCCATACCTCATGCATGGATGCACCTCTGCAGTCCAGTGACCTTCCAAACACAGGGAGGCTTGGGGGACATTTTAGATCAAAACCGTTACACAAAGTAAGTGATGAGGGTGGTTGGGCCTGTGTGGGGAGCTCTGCTCACGCACGTTGGTATTTGTTGCTGGGTGGAGGTCCAGACCCTGAAGAGGCTCCTGTCCTTACAGCTGCCCCTTCCAGGTGAAAGGATTATGTGGGGAAAGTGGGAAGTAGAGAACACAGGTGATCTGATAATACTGATGTTTTCTCCCTTTCCTTTCAAAGTAGTATTTCATTGTGTTTTCTTTTAATTACATATTGAATATAGAACAATCAAAAGATAAGTACTCAGGCTGGGGATTTAGCTCAGTGGCACGCCTGGTAAGTGTGAGGGCCTGAGTTTGATTCTCAGTACCTCCTCCATCCCCTACCCACCCCCAAAAAGATAGGTACTCAGGGACAAAAAAGAACTTGTAAACACCTATGACATGGTGTGTGAATCCTTTTCCAAATATACATGTCTGTATTTATTTATTTTTGGTATTGGGGATCAAACTCAGGACTTCGTGCTTTCCAGGTAGGCACTTAAGCTGCTGAGCTATCTCCCTACCCCTTACGTGTCTGTGTTCATGTATAGTTTTTCTTAAAAAATTATGATCACATACTATATTTTTAAACTTTTCTTTTAATATATGACTAACATTTTCCATTTTTCTATGAAAATAATCTCAGCATCATTTCTAATAGTGTCAGAATTCCCATGTCTGGTGGGGAGGACAGTTTGTTTGCTTTGACCTTTTCTGTTTCCCTATTGCAAACAAGCAGCCAGCAGAGTTGAATTAAACAAGTCCTTTCCTGTTTTCTTGGGATGGACGTGATGCACCTTGTCCTTACAGATGTTCCTGCTGATTCTGCGTGCCTTGCAGCTCCTGACCCGACTGGTGCTGTCTCTGCAGCCCCTTCCTCTCAAGTCCTCTGTGGCCAAGGTGAGGCTCCCAGGGGCTTCCAAGAACAGGCCAGCTGATCGAAACAATAAAAATCATCAAGCTTAAAAAGAATTTCGTTGCTGCCATATTTTTTAGAGTATTTATTGGTAAGAGCTACATTCATGGAGTCTAAGCTCTTTGGAACTGGCCTTGCTCCTGCTGTGCAGTAGATGGGGCTGCAGACATGAACAGTATATAGTACCCCAGGCTGGGCTGTGCACCATAGCCCACAGGAGGCCAGGCTCTGGGTGCTGTGGTTTTGTTCTGTGAGTTGGCAGAGTAACCCCGTCCTTATCAGTAGGGTGAATGAGAAGTGGGGACTCTGGATTTCAAGGCACTCCAGGAAACAGGCCCAGTGCTGTCTCATTTGGGTGGGCTTTGAAGTCCAGCAGTTCAGAGGTTGACTAACAATTGCTGTACTCCTAAAACCACAGCTGAGGTGAGTTCCTAATTTTTGTTGCATAATGCATGTGTGCAAGATGGGTATTTCTATTGCTGGGGAAGCTGAGACTCATAAAGTAAATAATTTGCCTAAGTCAGTAACAAATGAGACAGCACAGGAATTCAGAACCAGATTTGTCAGTTTCTGAATCCTTTGAAAAGGAATGGTATTGCGGCCTCATCTGAGGGGTGACAGACTTTAGCTGGTGCATACCTGACCTTTCTTATAGGGGAGCCAGCAGATCCTGTGTGACCCTGGGCCACCTGGGACACTGATTTTCTACCCTGATATTTACCCCTGTTTGAGACTGGGCTTGGTGGCATATGCCTGTAATCCCAGTGCTTGGGAGGCTGAAAACAGGAGGATCACTACGAGTCTAATCTGTGTAGTGAGACCCTGTAGACCCTGTACTAAATACATTAAAAAAAAAAAAAAAAAGTATGAGCTGTCTTATGAGTCACAAAAAAAGGAAGAAAAAAAACTGCTTCTGTTTTTCTGCTTAAGGAAAAGAAACTTCCTAAGAGTAAAACCACAGAGGATTCTGGAGATGCCCCAGGAACTTCCAGTCAAGCTGCAGAGAACCAACCTGAACGGCAGACCAGCAAAAGAACCATGCAGGGAAAAGCCTTTCTTAAGGGCCCTGGCAAGGCAGATACCAAGGGGAAGAGGAGGAAGACAGCCACAGGCAGCATGAAGCAAAGAGAGCCTTCCTCCAGTGAGGGCGAGGTGGCTGGGCCTAGAGAGCAACCTCGTCGCAGCCGGGCCCGGTATAGGGCCCATAGGGTATCTTACAAAGAGGAGAGCGGGAGCGACCCAGCTGCCAGCAGTTCTGACTTTGAGCCTTCCAGCGAGGAAGCCCATTTTTCCTCTGATGAGGGCTCTGAACCTGCCCCACCCAGGCAGAAGAGAGCTCCTAATCTGCAGTGGACAAAGGTTGGCTCCAAAAAGGACTCCAGGACTCGGCCAAGGAGCCGCCGCCAGCACCCAGCATCTTCTACCTCTCTAGGCAGTAAGAGAGGGAAGAAAGTATCCCAGGACAATGAAGAGGCAGGAGGGAAAGCAACTGGTGTAGACCAGTGGCTGGAAGTGTTCTGTGAGAAGGATGCGAAGTGGATGTGTGTGGACTGTGTGCATGGGGTAGTAGACCAGCCCCGGGCCTGTTACAGATACACCACCAAGCCCGTGACATATGTTGTGGGCATTGACAACAATGGTTGGGTCCGAGATGTCACTCAGAGGTATGACCCAGCCTGGATGACAGCCACCCGCAAGTGCCGGGTTGATGCTGAGTGGTGGGATGAGACCTTGAGACCCTACCGGAGCCCATTTGTGGAACGGGAAAAGAAGGAAGATTTAGAGGTAAGGCCTGGGCCACAGGCTCCAGGACACAGTGAAACAATATTAAGATTCTTTACATTTTTGAGTATCATGTGTACCCAGCACTGTTGGATATTTTAGTTTAGAGGTTTTTTGGTGGTGGTGCTGCTGCTAGGGATCAAACTCTGGGCCTTGTTCCTTCCTGCCAGGCAAGAGCTCTGCCACTGAGCCACATGCCCAGCCGTGTGTTGGGTATTTTAGCGTGCTGCCTCATGAAGCTCTCACAGGCACAGTATAAAATGAGTTATCAATGCCTTAGTGTTTCTGGCAAAATGCTGGCAGAACTGAGCCACTAAATGGCCAAGTCTTTGAACCTAGCTCTATGTGGCTTTGAAGGCTATGTACTTTTAGTCATTATCCAGGAATGAATTTGGAACTTCAGAATAATTCATGCAGATCAGCCGGGTGTGGTGGTCCACATGTACTACCAGCTATTTGGGCAGCTAAAGCAAGGAGGATCCAAAGTTTGAAGCCAGCCTTGACTACATGGCAAGTTCGATTTCAGAAGAAAAACTAAAAAGGCTGAGGAGGTGGCTCAGTGGTAGAGTGCCCCTGGGTTTGATCCCCAGTACTGAAAGAAGAAATTTATAGAAATCACGTAATTCATAGCAAATGAAAGAAGGAATAACTCACTGTCTGGCCACCCCTTTACCTTCGGGCATGCACAGACACATGGACAGGCAGTTGTCTCCTGGTAAGGAGCGGCCATGATTAAGTCCCATCAGTCTGTTGAGGGGACCCAGCAGGAATGGAGCACATTAAAGCCATGTCACTGGTCTGGAGCTGCCACCTACCAAGGCAAGGATATGAGCTGCTTGTGCACGGCAGCTCCATGTGGGAGGAGTGCACATTTGTATGTGGGCTCACACTGCAGTGCCAGTGGTGGCATACTTCATTCCATAGAGCCTTGCTTTAGCAAGCCTGGTCCTCTTACTTAGCGGTGACAGACAGAAATGGTGTGCATGGTTTTCTAACCCACCTCAGGCGTTTGCAGCTACTCACTCCAAAGGCCAGGCCTCATTCCGGTTGGGCCTTCCAGGGGAGCTTGGTGAACAAGTATAGGTCGAGGGGGTGTGGATACCCACCAAGATGCAGCACCCTTAGAGAAGTGCTCATGAGGGTTATGCTGCAGGCAAGTCCACATCCTGTGAGAGCATATGGTGGGAACAGTGAGGACACAGGCAACTTCATTGAGAAACACCTTTTACCACGTGGCTTGCTTTCTCTAGAATCACTAGAGCCTATCTGCCATGCTGGTTAAAGAGTCTGAGGATTGAGTATAAGTCAGATGACTTTCTTAATTCATTTAATTCTTCATTGCTTTTGGTGAATCTCAGCTACCCCATGGCCAGGGCTCCAGTACATCATTGGTGGTTATTGCTGAGAAACTAGGGCCTGCTGTGTGTGGCCAGAGCAAGTGGTTAATCGTCTCAGAGCTCCCCCACACCTGATGGGGTGCTCAGTACCGCCTGTCTGGCCTTCTCAGTTTCAGGCAAAGCACCTGGACCAACCTCTGCCTTCTGCCATTGGCACCTATAAAAACCACCCTCTCTACGCCCTGAAGCGACACCTGCTAAAGTATGAGGCCATCTACCCTGAGACGGCAGCAGTGCTGGGGTACTGCCGCGGCGAAGCTGTGTACTCCAGGTGTGTGTGTGTGTATGCGCTGCACTATGTGGCTTCCCAAGGGCTGGCGGTTTGGCTGCTTCTTCCTGGGCCAGGTGCAGGCAGGCAGGCAGGCAGGCAGCATAGGCTCTCACTTCAGCAGCAGCAGCAGCACTCACAGGGAGTTGGGGTGTGTGTGTGCACATATGTATGTGCGCACATGTGCCTCTGTGTGTGCATGCACAGGTGCTATAAAGGCAAAAGCAAAGACACAGTGCAGAATGAAAGAAAGGACAAGTGGGGCTGGTTGTGCTTGAGGCCCTGGGCTTCATGCCAGCCCTGAAGGGGACAAAGTAGGACAGGTAAAATTTAAGACAACAAAAGTTATACCCATCAAATATAAGTTAACATGCTAAAGTAATGAGTGAAAAATTAGATCACAAAAGTTAACCACTCGCCAGTCCATTTATTTAAATACAGGAGGATCAAAAATTGTTTTTTTCTCCCATTAATTTTATAACCCAGAATATAAAAACAACAGCTACTTTGTGTATCCCATGCAAAATTGATAGGTTGAAATGACACCTGCCCAAGAAACACTCAGAGATAGTATTTAAAAAAAAAACAAAAAAACTGCTGCCTGAGTGTTGCTTGGCATAAACTGTTAAGTGGTTAGAATGAGTGTGTGTTTTAATGGGTATTGGGATTAACAGAAAGTTCTGGCAACAGATGGTGCTAGAGTTTGTACAGCATTGCTAGGATACTTAATGCCCCTGAACGGAACACTTAAAAATGATTACTCCACAGGGAAAAATAATCCCCAAAAAAAGAGAAATGAGAAAAAGGAGTTGGGTGCCATGCACACCTGTAATCCCAGCCCTCTGGGAGGCTGAGGTAGGATCATAAGTTTAGCCTCACCCTGAGCAACTTAACAAAACCCTTTCTTAAAATTTAAAACATGAAGATAGGCTGGGGATCTAGCTCAGTAGCAAAAACCTGGATTCACTTCCTAGAACTGGGGTGGAGTTGGATGGGGTGGTAAAATATGTGCAAAATTAAGACTGAAAAATGTTAATATAATTTTGAGATTTTATTTACATAAAAATAGATAGAAGGATTTTGAGAATTAGCTTGAAGAGGAAGTTGGGAGATAGAACCTGAGCAACAGAATGCATTGGAGTAGACAGTGACTTGTTACTGTGGCAAAGCACAGCATAAAATGTGTGTTTCACCATTTTTACGGTGTATAGCTGAGTGGCACTGAGTGCATTCGTGTGTGCAGCTGGCACTGCCATCTCTAGGTCTTTACCCTCCCGGAGTCCCAGATTCCACCCTGACTGAGTCCCACCATCCCAGGCCCTGCTCCCGCCAGTCCACTGTGGTATGAGCTTGACTCCCGATGGCCTGCCATGTGGTGGCCTGCCATGTGGTACTGTGGAGCATCTGGCCATTTGCTTCCTGTTCCATCCATGCTGTAGTATGTGTCAGAGTTTGCTTCCTCCGTAAGGTTAGACATATCAGTGGACCACGTTCCTTATTCCTGTGTGATGACCCTGGGCTCTTTACAGCGTGGGGCTATGAATAGCGGTGCCGTGTGAAAGTTGTTGGAATCCCTGCTTTGGTTGTTTTAGGAATGTAGTATCTGAAGTAGAATCGCAGGTTAGAGGTGGTTCTTTTCATGTCTTAAGGAACTACTGTGCCGCATCCATCGCAGCTGCGCTGTTTATATTCCTGCAGCAGTGTGCATGCTCCTGACCATGCTCTCTCGCTTGTTTGTATAGCCATTCTGCTGGTGTGCAGGGGCCAGATGTGGACACTGGTTCTAAGAGGGTTGTGTCCCTGCCCTGTGTTCTCTACCCTCTCTTATCTAAGAACCATACCCATGGATGGCTTCACTACTTCTTTGGGATCAGGGATGTTCAGGCTAGGGATAGAGTTTTCATGTCCAGACATGGGGATATGGTGTTGATGGGAGGTGGAAAGGACAGGTCTTCCATCCCTCATTGGTCAGTGAGGATGAGGCTCTGAAGGGTCACCCAGTGGGAACTCTTACTGAAGGCTGGATTGCATCCTGCTGTCATGCACTATGAGGTGCTGCACTTCAGCTTGGCTGCCTGGTGAGCTGGCCTGTGGCTGTACATGAAGTGCTAGCTGGATGCCTCCCCCAGAAGGGTTGGGTGCAGACTGAGGAAGAGTAAGCCTGGCATGGCAGTGCAGAGCAGATCCCCACCATGAATAGACTTGCAAGGCTGCAGCATGGCACTTAGCTCAGAAGAGGAGGCCAGTGGATCTTTGCCTGTAATCACCATGGCCACCAGTTATTTGCCTGCCCCTGGCATGTGTCTTCATTCCATGGTGGTTTGTTAGCCTGTCAGTGAGCATCCATGCATCTTTTACCCCTCAGGTTGTCCCTGACATGGTGGTTAGCAGCAGATCAGAACTCAGCAGGCACTGCTGGGAAGCTGGGTTTTCTGCATTGCCATAGACTGCAGAGGGAACGAACTCTTACTGGAGGTCTAGGTTGGCAGAGACCGGGGAGACCTGGAAAGGGGCAAGTAGTCAGAGCCTAAGTGCTCCACACACGGTGGGCATTTTAGTGGACACTGCTCCTCTGGGTGTGTTAGAAGCAGGGCCTGTCCTAGGACCCAAGGCAAGGCTGGGGGTGGGGTCATCAGGGCCGCACTGTGCCCTTTGCCACAAGTCGCAGAGGCATGAATCCTGCTTGCACACAGGCTGGATGTGGGCTGAGCTCATCCTTCATCTCCGTGTTGCCTCCCTCAGGGATTGTGTGCACACCCTACACTCCAGGGACACATGGCTGAAACAGGCAAGAGTGGTGCGGCTCGGCGAGGTGCCCTACAAGGTAATGGCACGGCTTTGCAACCAGGTGGCAGAGCTGAGCAGGGAGGGTAGCAGAGCCTGTGGGCATATGCTGTGACAGGAAGCCAGCAGTGCCTCGCTTTGACTTGAGCAGGATTTGAGGAGGAGGCAAGCATTTCAATGATCTTAATGAATGAGGAATTGTAAAAATGGATCTCCGTAAAGTTGCAAGGAACTGAGACCAAAGGGTAGCCTTCAGCAACTGTTGGTAGCACAGGTGGCACTGCAGTGCTTTGTGACTGTGAGAGGCTTGCGTATGTACAGATGCTCCCCAGCGAGGTGCTCACAGGTCCCTGTTTCACATGAATTTGCGTGTGCTGATCTCTGTGGTGTCGCAGTACTGAAGGCCTGGATATGCAGAGACCAGAGCTCAGGAAGGGAAATGATCATCCAGGTTTCAGTGGCAGAGCCCAGCAGACATCCTTCTCCCAGGCATGATATGGCCTGTTAGGTCTGCAACCCACAGGCCTTCTCAGGACCCTGGGCTTGGTTAAGCCAGGAGGGCATGGCTGGTCCTCAAGATGTGTACTCCCCTCTGGGGCTGTGTGACAGTGGGGAGTTGAGGGACAGAGGTGAAGGGGAGGTGACAGTGTCAAGTGTGTGGTGCTTCCTGCTGCACCTGAGACCCTCACCCCTCATATTCCATCAGCCAGCCGCTCTGCTCTGGGGAGTGAGCCACCACTCAGAAGCAGGTGTCTCTTCACCTAGCTAGTATAATTCCCACCCAAAATGTAAGGACTCATTGTGTAGGAAGTGTTGTAAAAGGTGACTGAGGTATTTTGAATAGAGTCACTCATATTAAGTATTGATCCTGTCTGCAAGTGGCTGTCAGTACCTCAGTGCACATTAGTCACACTGCTCACCAGTCACCCCCATGTTACTGCAGCTGTCATCACAGACAGCTCTAGCATAATTCTAGGCTGCTTAGATCCATCCCTTTGTTGTGACTCCCATTGTTCCAGCTCCTGCCCTGTCCTCTCTTAAGTGTCCTTTCCAATGGAGTCTTCCTAGTTCTGCACATCTTTCTGACATCAGCTGCCCAGCCTGCCCCACAAGTATTTTTCACATGGGGTACTAGTGAGGCTGGAACACCCTCCTTTTCCCTGTCAGACTGTGTCCAGAGTCCTGACCCCTACCATGTGCTCCCCATACCTCTTCTTGTCTGTCACGCGTGGCTGGCACTGCATGGTGTGTTTGGGCACCCAGTGGATATGAGGCCTTTCCTCAGATCTGGGTTCCCCTGCCTCACAGGTCCCTCCCGACCAGGTTCTGCTGCAATGGGGCTCTTATCTGATCTGAGTGGCCTAATGTGAAAGGTTGTAAAGAGGCAAAGAATGCAGTGAAGAAATTTTGTACCAGGCACCAGGCTGTGGCCCCTACAGCTGCTAGAGAACAAGCTGAAGCCCCAGGCCCTATGGCATTGGTGGGAAAGACCAGCTCTCCTAGAGACAGCCAGGTGGCACCTGGGTGTGAATCCCAACTCCTTTCATATGCAGGTCCTGGTTCTTGAGTGAATGACTACTGGGTCCACCTTTCTCCCTCAGCAGTGAATATGACTGCTTCACTAGCTGTGACTCCAGGGTGGTCTTTACCCTGTGCGGTTGGCCTGACCTGTAGGTTTGTTGAAAGCAAAACTTGTATCAGTGTCTGTTTGCCAATGCTAGAGAACATAGTGAGCAGGTGCCACCCCTGTCACAGGCATATATATCATCAGGGTTAAATGAGGTATTAGGCCTGTTGACATGGGCATCAGGACTCTGGGCCTCATGAGTCTAGTGATGTGGGCGTGGGGACCCAGGGCCTCCTGGTGAGCCGTGGTTATGTACTTGCCAGATGGTGAAAGGCTACTCCAACCGCGCCCGCAAAGCCCGGCTCGCCAACCCCCAGCTGCAGGACCAGAATGACCTGGGCCTGTTTGGCCACTGGCAGACAGAAGAGTACCAGCCCCCTGTGGCAGTGGATGGGAAGGTAGGGCACACTAGAGTGGTGCGCACCAGGCCCAACTGCCCCCTCTGCCCAGCTGATCACATCCCACTGTCCCTCCTAGGTGCCCAGGAACGAGTTCGGGAATGTGTACCTCTTCCTGCCCAGCATGATGCCTGTTGGCTGTGTGCAGCTGCATCTGCCCAATCTACATCGTGTAGCCCGCAAGCTGGACATCGACTGTGCCCCAGCCGTCACGGGCTTTGATTTCCACGGTGGCTACTGCCATGCTGTGTGCGTAAGCTCCTGTGTCAAAGCCTAACTGATCTGAGGGCAGGCTTCTAGGAAGTAAAGGCAGCCATAGGCCTTGACGTCCCCTGGCTCCTACCCAGGGTCATAACAGCAGTGGATCCAGTGCCCTAGGCACACTGGCTGCGAACTCTTCCTTTGGTGGTCCCAGGTGGTGACCATATCCTTCCTGGTTTCTAAACTGTCCTGTGAGATGATGCTGCAGACAAGGCCTCTATGGCTTTCAGGCAGGCTGAGGAGGAGAGGTAACACCGGCCCCTGTAAGTCTGCTCCTGCCAGGTTGGCTATCCCTGGTTGGTTGAGTGTTCCCACAGGGGCCCCAAGTGCTCAGAAGGAGCCCCCTGTTTCCAAGTAGAGGAGGATGGGACAGGCAGGAAAGTTCATCATGTCATGTCCCACAGAACTGATGGCTACGTTGTTTGTGAGGAGTTCAGGGATGTGCTTCTGACTGCCTGGGAGAATGAGCAGGCCCTCATTGAGAAGAAGGAGAAGGAGGTGAGTGGTGGGGAGGAGCTGGGAAGGCCAGGCTAGCATGTGACCAGGGGGAGGAGTATGGGTGGGAGGTCTTGGGGATGTGCTCCTCTTCCTGGCCATTCTTAGGCCAAGGAGAGGAGGTGGCAGAGGCTGTGTGCTCTGCAGTCTCCCTAGCCCCTAGCCTGGGCCCCCACCCCGGGGGCTGTAGCCCCTGCTTTGTCCTTAGTCCAGGTATTAGGTGACTCAACCCACTAAAAATAGGTGTTATAGTGGTGGCTTTCAAGTGATTTTTTTATTTTTTTTTTTTTTTTTGATACCGGGGATTGAACTCAAGACCTTGTGCTTGCCAGGTCGGCACTTAAGCCACTGAACTATGTCCTCAAGTGATTTTCTGAATGACACCAGTTTTTTAAAATGCAACTTGGTGTGACCAAGACCTTATCTTCCCACCTGAACCTGTATGACTGGCTGTAGGCATTCTCAGGCTCCATCTTGATACTTCAGGACAACACCAGTGCTTATCATGTCCTGCTTCCTTCCTGCTGCAGAAACGTGAGAAGCGGGCCCTGGGGAACTGGAAGCTACTGGCTCGGGGGCTGCTTATCAGGGAGAGACTACAACTGCGCTACGGGGCCCAGGTGAGTGTGTGGCCTTCAGAGAATAGCAGGGAGACAGTCACTGCCCAGGCCCTGTGCACAGCAAGGCGTAGACATCTTCACAATCAGCTCTGGGCTCAGCACAGCTGCAGCTGCCCTCATGCCCTGTCTCCACTCGGGTCCCCTCTCACAGCAGCTGCATGTAGCAGGCCAGCCTGCTAACCCCAGAGGGCTTCCATGTGGAACAGGCAGGTTCCGAGGCAGGGATGGGCAGCCTAGGTGAAGTGCTCTGCATGCTTCAGGGCCTACCTCCACCCACTCTCTGCCCTTAGAAACTACTCCTGTCCTGCTCTTCACTGCAAGCCCCTGGGTCTGCTTTTATGTCTTCATGGGCTCCTAACTGCCACATGCTGTGACCCTGTACAGCTGTCCCTGCCTTCAGGGTTGCCACCTCAGGTCCTTTAGCACTATGTCTGGATAGATCCAGATGTACCCACTGTGCCCACACCTGAAGTCATAGGTGAAGCAGTGGCTGGAGTGGCTGGCAACCTGGAAGGCACTTCTAGGAGCTGCCTGTCTGTGACTGCCTTTTTCTCTCCTTCCCCTCTAGAGCGATGCAGCAGCTCCACACACAGGTATGGGAGGTGGGCTGTCCGATGAGGAGGAGGGAACCAGCTCACAAGCAGAGGCAGCCAGGGTCCTAGCTGCCTCCTGGCCTCAGAACCGAGAGGTTGAGGAAGAACAGAAACCAGCATGCCCCAGGAAAACCAGAAGAGCGAAGAAAGAGGCTGCCAGCCACCTGTTCCCATTTGAAAAGTGACCTATGTTCCTGCTTCTGGAATGTGGACAGGCTTGGGCGCTGAGGTCACGCTTGGGTGCCAAGGTTACACCGTAGGTGGGTCCCCGAGCTACTCACCAAAGCCCTGAGCTGGGGGCACTGCCCTTGGACTCTTGTTCTTTCCATCTTTGGAAACGGGAATTTCACTTTGTTTTCTTTAATAGAAAGTGCTGGGAAATTTATGGGTGGAGGTACCCGGTGCATCTGCTCCCACCATACCCTGGGCCCTGGCCTCTCTTGGGGCTTAGGATCCTTCCTCTACAGACTACTTAATCCTTGGATTAGGAGCCTGCTGCTGAGCACTGCCTCTGTGTAGAAAACAGGAAAGTCAGAAGTACAAGCCTCTCAGATCATGGCATGGGGGGTGCTTCCTGGCGTCACAGCAGGAGACTAGGACAAAGAGTTAACATAGGCAAAGAGTAACCAAGCATTACAGATGTTAGAGAAAGTGCATCAGTGTTCAAGTAGATTTTACTTATTACCAGATACATTTACAAAGCTCTGTATGCTCTTTGTTCAGAAAAAATAACTTTTATAACATTTTGAGAAAGAAAAATAAAGCATTTATCTAAAGATTTGCCTGTGTGCTTTTTTCAGATTTTACCTCAGCCAAGGATGCCAACAAATGCATGTAGGTAGGAAAGATGAAGTTTTGTTTTCATGTGGGCAGGGAACACATACACCTGGAAGTTTTTTTCTTAGCAAGATGTTAATCTTTGAGAAGAGTCCTTAACTACAGTGTTGAGTCACTTTTATCCAAGGGACACAAATAAAACCCTGGGTGTGACTCAGCAGCCACAGCACTGCTGCCTGTGTGGTGGAGAAACAGGCTGGGTTGCTATAGAAACTGCATCTCCACACTTCTGTGCCTGAGCCTACACCTAGAGGTGGGCGCTTCTGAGATGAGGCTACTGCTTTGTCTGAAGAAATAACCTGTTCAGGCAGGGCCACCTTATAGGAGGCACTGTGGAGATGAAATGAAGTGGGTCTACATCCTGCTTGTAGCTAATGCAAATGATTCACTGCTGATGTCAGTGGACCGTTAACAGCAAAAGGATGTCAGACATTTCTTGAGCTTAATCTTCAGTCCTTGTAACCTTGTGAGGTAGAAAGGCACTGTCAATTTACAGCTGAGGGAACTGAGGCTCAGAGCTCGGATTTGCCAGACACCATGAGCCAATCTGGCAGAGTGGGACTTGTGCCAATAGGAGCCAGTCCCTCCCCCTCTCCTAGCACATTCTAAAGATGCCTGGGACCTGAGTCATATGCTGCAAACAGCCATAGCCAGCAGGCTCCCCACTGCCTGGAGTGCTTGGCTATTTACAGGGACACCTTCCTTAATTACGCAGAACAATTTAGAAATGAGTTACATGAGCAGATGGCCCCAACCAAACCCACAGAACGGTAAATGTCTATACCAAGAGATAGAAATTTATTTTGAATTTTTATACAAATACAAAGATGGTACAAATTTTGTGATGGTTTCCCAAAGCCTTCAAATTACTGTTAACACTTAATTTTGCTGCACTTTTGAAATTGGCAGTTTCAAATGCATGTCAGAAAAAATTCCTTTCAGATCTGGCCATCACCTGATTGTACTGCCTCTTTTCCAGAAGCATCTGTGCAGAGTTCAGTGACTAAGTCATGGATACTATTTCAGTCCCTTCAGGTGCTGGTACAGTGCAGACAACCAGACAGGGAGAGTACTACAGCCAGGCTCAGAGGTTCTTCCTCTCAGGGAAGCCACCAAGCACATGGTTGCCACTCCCAGCAAGGGCAAAATAACATGCTACAATAAACAGCATAAAGACTGTAAAACGTACATGAAGACATCAAGGTTATAACCTGCTTTAAGGGGTGGAAGAGGAGCTGGAAAGCTCGAACTGAATTGAATAAGGCTAAGTTTTGTCTGGGACAAGTCAAACCATGGACACTAAGCATGCAAAGAACCACACAAAAGCAGCTGTTCAAGGGCCAGCACTCCCAGGATGAAAGGCACGGATAGCAGGTGGCTTCCTGCACCAGCCCTTGCCCTCTCGCTCACAGATATGACTGAGTGGGTCAGCACGGAGGACACCCAGTGCAGAGCTTCAGCCCTTCTAGGGATGGCTAACTGTAAGCTCCAACCATCATCCGGTGAGCAGAAAGCAAATCCCTTTTCTAACACGTGCTCCAAAAGCTTCTCAAAGCTTCAGACCATGCTTTCATGTCAGCTGAGTCACACCCAGCTCAGCAGTTTTCTGTGCTCTGAATTAACCTCAAAGGACAGACTCAAGGCTGCCATCTGTAATGAGAGGTCCACTGCTCAGGAAATTTGGGCTTTTTAGGTCTTTGATGACAACCAGGGGTAGAAGCCAAATACCAAACAAAAACGTAAAGGCTTTGGAGGTCCCATTGGCTGGAAGGCTGAAAAGACACAGGGACATCCAGCCAGCAAATGCGACATCTGGAGTGACTAGGACATACTATATGGCATTCTGTCCATAGGCCTGCTCTAGGTGCTTCTGCTGCCCTAGGCCAGCCTTTGGTACATGTCTGGTGCCAGCAAAGGCTGTTCTGTGGGGTCGTGGGTGTGATGGGTTGAGCAGTCTTGGCACTTGAGAAATAGAGAGTGACTAGGGCAACTCCCTGCTCAAGCAGGTCTCCAGAGCGTGCAGTCCCAGGACAAGGGGGGCGACTAAGAAAAGGCTGCTTATTGGGTTACCACCTTTGAGCTGCCATGCTCACCAAGGCTGCTTACAGCAAGAAAAAAGGAGGGGTGAAGCGTGAACACCAAGCATGAGGAGCATGCTGCTAGGTCCGCCCCTCTGAAGAGCAGTAGGTACAGCATCCAAGAATCCAAGGCTGCCCCGAGCTTTGGGGATGGAACTGGGCCATAACACGGAGTAGCCTGAATCCAGAGGCTGCCATGGGTCTGATTGACACTAGAGCTTCCTTCACTCCAGTTTTTTGGCAGGCACCCGTGTTCTGGCAATGAGGACAGGTACCAATGCCAGGCAGCCAATGAGGAATGCCCACCAGGGCCGGTAGAAGAGCCAGCCAGCAGCTACTGTCAGTAGGGTCAATGAGGTGGCCATGCAGAAGGCAAAGGCTTTCAGGCCGATGTTGACCAGGTCTCGGAAGACAGGAAACCAATCCACTGCAGGGAGAGAAGGCATAAGGTGCCAAGACCACCACACTTTACACTTAGCAGATGGCTTCCTCTTTCTAGCTGCCCCTTAAGGGGAGGAGAGGGGCACTGCAGAGGGAGGTGGGCAGCCTTGAGCAGACTCCAGAGTCCAGAGGCAAGGAGGGGCCCTGCATGGCACAGCTGAGCACCTGGAGCTCTTTTCTGCCCACCCCAGGGAGAACTACACACCCTCTTCTGCATGTGTATAGCAATAGGGCTTATCAGGCCTCCCAGGGCTAGGCCTGGACTACACGGGGCCTCATATGCTTGGCACCAGCTACAGCAGTGTGTGGCACTCCTGCTGCAACCTCCTCCAGGCCTGCAGGCCAGTCCCACACTGGGAAGGACAAGGGCACAGACAGCCGGGATCTGGGGAGGGTGTGTGACACCAGCCAGGACCGAGGCTCCAGTGCGACCAGCCAGGACTTCCCTGCAGTCTGTCTGAGCACAGTGCAACCATGCAGGGAAAGCCTGCAATTGCAGGGGAACTGAAGCCTGAGAAGGGCCTGGTCCGAGCACACAGAGCCCCACAGGACAGCTCTCTACCAAGTCCAGCTCACCCTAGAGGCTGTAGCCTCCTCCCCTGGGCTGCTCAGCTGCAGAGGATGGAGGGAGCAAGTGGACAGATGGATGGGAGGGGGGGCCCTCTCCGCCATGATGGCCTCCCGTACTCATCAGAATGGTCAGACACCATTCTGCTCCAGGGAGTGGCCCTCACACCAGGAGAGCTCACAGGACAGGTGGCAGTCCCCGGAACAGCATGTGTGGCTCTACAGCCTAGAGGCTGTAGCCCCCTCCACACCTACCCAAGGTGTAGAGGATCCGAGTCATGAGGTTGAGGCCCATGAACATAGCCATCCAGCCGGCCGCCCGCAGGCCCCAGGTCTTCATGGAATTGCTCCTGTGTTCTCTGCGAAACACCTCCTGTAGGGTATAGAGATGGACATTGGGTGCCTGGTGGGCAGGGCACATGCTGTGAGGGCTGTGCCAACTTGGGCCATGGCCACTTCAGGACAGGCCAAAGAAGGGCAATCACTGACCCAAGTCCCTGTCTTCCAGGTACTGCACAGTGCAACATGGGAGCTCTCTGGAGAAGGTGCCAGCCTCAGTGCAGCCCAGACTCCGAGGAGCCCCCAAGGAGCCCCTCCTTATCAGCCACATGCCCTCTCTATGCACATGGTTGGGTCTTTTCAGGCTAGTGCTGCCTCTCCCCCACTGCCTGGCTGTTCCTTCTCCATGTCCACTACTATTCTATACCCTCCTCACCTCTCAGTGCTCAAGTGCTGTGGCTGTTCCTGCCCCACACACCCACCACCTGCACACCGGCACCTCCACTGCCTCCTAGACAATCTGTTTAGCATCCTTCATGTCAGCTCTTAGAGCTCTGCTGGTCCTGCTTCTCTAGCTCAGCAAACAGGTCCCATATCCACCTACAGGTAGGAACCTGGGGCAGATGCAGCAGGTTCCATTGCCAATGCACCACAGTCCAGTCCTGTAGCCCACCAGGGCTACTGCAGCACACACATTCTCCCAGCCCATCATGTTGTCCCTCAGGAACAATCCACATCACCCGCCGTCCCTGCCATTGCTGTGCCTCAGGGACTATAATGTGTGTTTCTAGCTGGTCACACCATACCCTTTCTGACCTACCCCTAACCCCAGCCCACTGGATGAGAGGCCTATGGAGGAAAGACAGGCATGTGTCCCCACCTGCTGCGCCTTGGGCTGCCTACTGTGCCAGGCTGCATGTCCTGAGAAAGCCAAGGGCACTGCCACTACTGGGTTGTGCACCTGTGCACAACCCTGCCAGCTGTGGCTCTTTCCTTTATCTCAGCGGGAACTGTTTTCTCAGAGCTTCCCTGACCCCCTAGTCCAGTGATTGTGAGCCTTTTAGAGCTTTCAATGATACAAACAGCCTGATGGGGCACGCATGCCATAGGTTTGCACCACTGCCCTCTCATGCCAATCTACACCCACTACAATAAAAATGTACAGCACTCATTGCTTAATAGTTATCTTTCATTGCCCTGCAGGTTTTACATGCCTTTAAACACTTAATGCTGAGAGCAACTCAGTGGGGTGGGAGCACATTCCCATTTGAGCAGAAGGCAACCAAGTTTCTGTGAGAACAGGGAACATGAGCAGTCTTACCTACTGCAAGCCTGCCCTGTCCTGTACTGGAGCAGGTCTCTCCTATATGTGGGAATGAGGTGGCCAGTAGGTGTGGGGGTTGCCACGCTAGGCAGCCCAAGATCAGGGGATGGGGACACATGCCTGTCCTTCCTTCATAGGCCCCTCACCCTTCCTGGGACACCGAGAGACCTGGGGCTCCACCCAGGAGGCAGGAAGCCAGGGTCTCGGCAGGAGAGACCAGGCCTGACCAGGCATCATCCCGTTGAGGAAGTACTTAAGGGGCTGAGCCTGGTGACTGGGCCTCGCCCATCCTGGACATGTACAAGGAGCAGTAGTGCTACAGGCTGGGAGGGAGGCCAATAGGGATGACAGGTGGTAGTCGCAGCAGGCCCCTGTGCCGCTACCTGACCCTTGCCACCTTCTGCACGGGAATCCTGCAATGCTATGAAAGCCTGCAGTGATACTATGTCCACCAACAGCAAAGAGAGAGCATGACATCTAGTATGACATTCCTCTCCTTAAGTGTTGGATGCAGTGTGGTAGAAAAGGGACTCGGGGTAGCTTAGGGACCTGCCCTTCACATTCCAGTGCTAGCTCCTCTGCTGCCCTCCAGATGCCCTGGGGGAGAACACACTTGATGTGCACCCCTGGTGCCCACCAATGTGAGCCCTAACTTCTCAGGAGGGATACTGCTCTGCATGTAGCCTCATGGGGAGGCCCCGCAACCCTCAGTCTGCGGCTCTGGCCTTGTGACCTCCACAGCATCACCCGCTGTTTTCCCTCAGTGACTGCACTCCTTACACCAGGGAGCTCCCCACATGCTGTCCTGCCCACACCATGGGCTGCTGCTCCTTCACTCCCCTTCTTTCTCCCACTTCATGGCACTCACTGTCACCTCTCCTGGTCAGGGCTCAGGAGGAAGGCACACAGCATGACTCACCTCTGCAGAGAAGTCCCCATGGTGCAGGAGCAGCAAGGTCTCCCCTGACGGAGTGGAGTAAGGAACAAGTTGGTCACCCCGTTGCCGGGCAATCACTGTGACCTGGCCAGGGAAGGCATGTCAGAGCTACAGAGAATTCAGGGAGTAACACCTCTCCCTATGGTCCATGCCACCCAAGGAACCAGTGAGGAGCCCCAGACTCATCTCCTTCCCAGGGTAGCCCAGCCCTGTAGCATCCACAGCTCCAAGACACAGGGCAGGAGCTGGGCCAGGACAGGACCAGAGGGCCTGGATGGAGAGGCTAACTGCAGGCAGTGCTCGTGACCATTACACACCCCACCTGTGTGACAGCAAAAGGGGTGGCCAGGCCCTGGCCTCCCGGACAGCACATGAATGAAGGCCTAGTGCTCACAGCTCAGAAATCAGAGCTGGGAAGGGGGTGTGTATCATTGGGAGGACACATTAGGAGGACCCTCAACAACTGCGCTGAGTCTAGCGTCTGTGGCTGGCTGCAGAGCTCGGGGGTACAGGGCAACAGCATGTGAAGGCTGCACCTCCACAGAGAGCCTGAAATGGTCAGCTCTCTCCCCAAATCTGAGCCCAGGACACCAGGAGCCCCCGCTGACTTGGTGCCTCCCAGGGAAGTCAGGTTACCACGTGGGCTGGGCCCAGGTCAGGGTCATCGCTGCTCAGTCCTGCATAGGAAAAATAGACGCGCAGGTCTCCCACCTGGGTGCAGAGAGATGGGAAGGTGAGGTGGATGCACTGGTCTGGCCACAATGCCACATTCACACTCCCCCTGCCTCCACTTCGCCTGCTGCCTCTGTCCCCCAGCATCTGGCTGCATGCAACACAGGTATGGCCAGCATAATGTTCCCTCCCATACCTCTGGGTACTTGGGGTTTTCACTGTGGTAGAAAAAGTCCCCTCGGCGGATGATGTCCACCTGGGGGTCCTCCAGTTTGGACAAGCTGAGTGGCCTGAAGTTGTCGATTTTGTCTATGAGGCCTAGGGGAGGCAAAGTGCTCAGAACCACAGCACACTGCACAGTCTTCCAGTCCGTAGCCACACACCTTGCCACATGTCCAAGGGGCTTAGCCATGGGAATCTGCCAGCCAGTATCCCCCTTCGAGGGCATTCTTGTGCCCAATGCCCATGTGCTTAGGTATGACCTTGATCCCCTGCCTTTCCCCTCAGATTATAGCTATCAATGCCCTCCTGGACTGGGAGCTCCCAGGAGACAGGACATGGTGGCAAGCAGCAGAGACCATGGGGTAGCCAGCCTAGCCCCAGGCAGTCTCCTCTCTTCTCTCAGCACCTGGGGTCTTGGACTCACTGTGGCTGAGAGAGCTGCCCTGTCCCTAGGGGCTTCTCTGCACATGGCCAGGTATGGGTGGGTTCCCCAGAGTAGCCTAGGGTTGAATTCCTGGCTCATACCAACTGCTAGGTTGAAGTACTGGACCAGCTTACCTGCTGAGAGGAAAAACCTGCCAATCTGGACAAAGGGGGCAGTGGCTGTGAAGGACTCCACTGCCATGGCACTGTGGGAGGGAAGTGGCATCAGACAAGATCCCCATACTAGGGCTACTGTCTGTCCTCCTTGGCTGAGTACCTCACTCTATCCCTGTCCCCAGTGCTTCAGACCCTCCTGCCCACACCCAACATCCTATCCTGCACTAGCCCCCTGGACTGTACACCTCACATGGCCCCTTCCAGCCTTGAGTACATCTGACCTGACCACACTCCCAGCACAGCCCTAACCACTGCCCATTGCAGCACATGTGCTAGTTCTACTAGCCCTGTGCCAACATCCTGAGAAGGCCCTGGCCAGTGGTCTCTTGCCCCTAGAAAGCTCTCCTTGGTTGTCCTCTTGCCAGGCTAACCAACAGTAAAATGCTTCCCTGGGATAGTACATGTGAAGCCCCCTGAGTCCTCTGCCCATGCCTTGAGTTGGCAGCTTCGTTGAGAGGACCTTGTCTGGGGTTGGCAAGGGTCAGGTCTTGCTCTCTGTGCCCAGGGCCCAGCACAGGGCCTGGTCCCAAAGACATGCCCTATGTCATCCCCTAGGAGGCAGAGCTAACTCGGTTCCATACACTCAGATGTGGACATGGGAGCTGGGGACCAGCCAGCAGCAGGCAAGCTCCACATGCACCTGGGGTTTTTGTGGCCAATCTCCCGGTCAAAGTTCCTACTGTTGACAATGTCTGACCGCCACTCGGTATCTGTAAGGAGAGAAGAGCTCAGAGTTGAGGTGCATGTGACTGGGTGGGCAGCCTGGAGGGTGGGGCAGCACCTGGGGAATCCCGCCCAGGTACCATAGCCACCCCACAGCTTCCCGTGTGGGGGAGGTACCCGCAGGCTGCACTCACTGTAGGAGTACTGTGTCTCCTTCTTCATCTGCCCGTCCTCAGTGTATTCCCTGCAGTAGGGCACAGGCAGCTGCTGTGTCAGCTGGGCTTGCACAGGCAGCTCCAGACAGAAGCCACCCCAGCGCAGAGGAGTCCAAATCCCCACAGAGCACAGCATCTGGGGCTAGATGTTCTCACCCCAACAGAGCCGGCTCTGCCCTTTGTCAGCCCAAGTTGACATCCATGCAGTTCCACACTCTGGGCTTGGGTCACCCTGTACCCTCTGTACCAGGAAGACTGCAGGGGCCCCAAAGCTGCCTTTTCCTGGCTTAGTGCTACACTCATCCAGTCCCAGACACCAGGTGACCTTCCCAAGGACCAGGAATAGGATATATGAAAGCTACCCTGCCTGCTCTAGGAGCAGGGGCAGCGGAGGACACACTGGTCTCGGGGAGGTTGTGTGAAATCTGGACCCAGCCATTCCTCAGGCTTGAGCAGCTCTGAAGGAGGGAACAGACCAATCCCCCTTTCTCTGAGCAACTCTGCTACTCTGCATTGGATTCTGCTACCTCCCAATTAAAGATTACTGGTTTCAACAATGGAAGAGCTGGACATCTTCTAATAGGAAGTCTATGCTCTGAATTCCAGAGCAACAAGATGACTCCATTCCTGCTCTTCCTTTCCTATGCTGACTTCCGCCTCCAGAGTCTGCCTTACCTAGACTCCTCGGTCTCCACCCACTGGTACATCTCAACATGCCTCCGTAGCTTCACAGCCGGAAGATGCACCCCATAGTTCGGGTCAGATAAGAGCTTTGAAAAAAATCCAACAGAACACAAAAGTCAGGACAAGGGCCCAGAACCCCTGGCTCAGTAAAGCCAGACTGGACCAGATATAAAGAAAAGGGGACCAGGGGACCAGAATTGAGTGTTGGGGCTACTTCCAGCAAGAGGGCAAGTAAGGCTGCCAAACTGGCATTCCTACTACATAACATGGTGACCTCAGACAAGGACCAGGCTGCAGGGCCCAGGACCAGGCCAACAGCAGCATGATGGTGTTCAAGTCCCCCGAGGCCTGCAACATGAGAGCACCTACCAGGAAGAAGGGTTCAGCATACTCCAGGTGCTGTGCATGGGTATGCAATCTAATTCCATCTGGCCCTCACAGTGGCTGTGCAAGCATCACCCCTGTTGCCCCCAGCTTCCAGACACAAAAAATGAGTGGCAAAAAGGCCACACAACTGCCCAATCCAAGCCGCAGCAGCCACCAGCACCGCTGCGCCTACCTTGGACGTCCGAAGTGCCCCAATGATGTGCACCAGCCTGCCCTCGTTCTCAGGGGCCACACTGTGGATGCTGTCTGGGGTCACCACCAGGGACAGCCCCTCTGTCAGTGAGGTTGCAGTCTTCAGCGCACGACCCTATGCAGGAGCAGGTTCACAATCAGGACTTGGGAAACACTAAGACCTGTCATCCCACTTTACTTCTGGGGAACTTCAGTCTAACAAGTGTGGACTCAGATTTGGAACCCAGGATTCTACTAGCCCCACCAGCATTGGCATTGGCCTCTGTTGGACCCAGCCAGGGCTGCTAGCCAGTCTCACCCTTCCTTCCCTTGGGCTATTCTCCCCTACTCCCAATAGCAGGCCTTGCCGTAAAATTGGCTCTGGAGCTAGTGCACAGGAGCTCTCTGTACTCTGACAACTTGGTTTAGAAGATGCTCCTCCTTCTCTAGGATCTCTAGGTTACACAGACATGAGATCAGATCCAGCCATGCCATGCCTGGAGCAGGTTTTTCAGGTATGCACACTGACCCACTCCTTTTTTTTTTTTTTTTTCTTTTTTTAACCTTTTAAAATTTTTTAGTAATTTATTTATTTATATACTTACTTATTTACTTATTTATTTGGTACAGGGTCTCGCTACCCAGTTCCGACTCATAGTAATACTCCTGTCTCAGCCTCCCTAGCACTGGAATTACAGGGGTATGCAACCATGCCTGGTTTCGGTGGCCTACCGGTATGGCATGAGGTACTGGGGATTGAACTCAGGTCTTTGCACTTGCCGGGCAGGCGCTTAGACCACTGAGCTATTTCCCCAGCCCCGACCCATTCCTGTAGAGAGCCCATGCCGCGAATCGCGGCTTCAGAACCAAAACTCCTAGGGACCATTGGGTGAGGCCTGCTGCAGCCCTTGAAGCCTGCGCTAGATTACCCCTCCCACCGAGTGTGCCAAGATGGCGCTCATTTCCTGCTTCCACAGTTGCTATACACCCGCCTATAATGATGTAAGATACCTTCCCTGAGATTGTAACCAATGGCGCTGTAACATGTATCAACCCTCGATTGGACAGTGTGAGGATATAAAAGAAACGCTCCGCGACGCGGAGGGTCAGAGACAGGAAGAGGGACGGAGAGAGGAACTGTGCTCTCTCGGGGCGCATCACTCAGAACGATTAAAGCCTTTCCGCCGCACAAATCGTGTTGAGTGCTTTCCTGCTGGACGGGAGGGCGCCCGACACATTCCTACTCTTATGAATCACACCATTACAAACTTCTGATTAAATTCAGGGGTCTTGGGGCTGGTGAGATGGCTCAGTGGTCTAAAGCGCCTACTTCGAACAAGCTAAGCTAAGCAAAACACAAGGACCACGGTTCAATCCCCCAGCACCACATGCCAGCCAGCCCCGCCCCCTGGTGGGCTGAGCTGGCCACACACACAAAATAAATAAATAAATAAATAAATATCATTTCTTTAAAAAAAAAAAAAAATTCAGGGGTCTTTCCCTTGTGTAAAATCTAGCCCCTTTACTAATCCAGACTAGATTCACACCTCCTTGAGGCTATGGGGGCATTCACTCTGTACAGGGAGACCCAATATCTTACCTCGTTGGTGAAAATCAAGTAGAAAGAGAGCAGAAAGGTCATGAGCCCCACAAACATGCCCCCTGAAGTCTCACTCAATCGCTCCAAGAAGCCTGGCTGAGGGTCTGATGTAATTTTGACATGTTCTCTCCTGGTACCTGTGGTAGAATACTAAAAGAAAAAATATTTTAAAATAGAGTGGAAATTAGCTATTAAAAATAGGCTGAAGCCAAGTGTGGTGGTGTATGCCTGTAATTCCAGCACTTAGGAGGCTGAGGTAGGTGGATCACTTTTGAGTTCAAGGCCAGGCTAAGCTATATAGTGAGTTCAAGGCCAGCCTGGATTACATGGTAAGACCCTGTTTCAAAAAAAATCAATCAACCAACCAGCCAATCAATAAAAGTAGGCTAAGTTTTGCTGTTTTATTTATGCTATCTTAGTTGTTTTAATATGTACAGTGAAAGTGCATGGATATGAAATGCACAGTCTCATGAATTTTGACAATGATCTGAGTGTCCCGGGGTGCTTGGAACACAAGCCCCACAGGCACTGAGGGACAACTATGCCTAGGAGTGGAACTACACAGTTGCTGGAAAATATATGCTCAGCTTTTTCAGAAGCTGCCAAACTACTGTACAGAGAGGTGACAGCCACTGATGATACCAAGGGTCATGCTGAATGCTGAGAGGTGGGCCCAGACCAGCGTCCCTCCAACATAGGTGTCAGGCAGGCTTGCTGGGGAGGGCGGGGTGAGGTTCAGATCCCCAAAAGAGCAGGCAGAGGCCTTGGAGAGCAGGGAGTGGTCTCTGGGATGGATGGAGATGAGGGGATGTACTAGGCCTGGACAATGTCCTGAGGGCTTCAACTGCAGGTCAGGGGGGTAGCTGTGTACCATCAGCAATGTCACAGCTGATGGAAAGCCATCACCAAGGCAGGCTCTGCCACAGAGCAGCCCTAGCCTGAGCACAAGATGTGCACCTGCTGTGCCCTCTGCATCTCACAGTCCAACTAGGTCATCAGCACAGGGAGTGGATCTCAGGCAACCGAGTGAGGGGCACTGTGGGCACTGCAGGCACCTGCCAGACTGTGAGTCCCAGGGATATGAAGTGGTCTCAAAGGGTCTGAGGCAGCCAGGCTCTTCCTGGCACTGATGGGAGTAGGAACAGGCAGAGGGAAGACTCTATAGTCAGTCTGGGCAAAGTGGTGGCCACATCTTTCTAACTGTTCCAGAACCCGCCCATCCTGGGCTCTAGAAAAACCGGTGTGCCCCACACGCTGCAATAGACTGACTTTCCACACCAGCTGGGATCACTGTGGTGGCATCCAACCACTCTAATGACAGTTGCAAACATGCCCACACATGTCACAGAGAAGTCCAGGTCACAGACGGCACATCAGGAACAGAGCCTCTGAGCAGAGCCGAGGCTTCCATCCCAGCAGAGCCCAGGCCACCTGTCCATCCTCTGCTCCACACCATCCTTACCTCCTGAGCCATGAGCACCTGCGGGCAGTGGCATAGACAAGAGACTCGCCCTCCTCCCGTCCCCTCGGCCAACACTCAGGATGGGCTCACATGCCAGGGAGGACGCCCGAGACAGGGACCATGTGGGCCGTGATATAGCACATCTCACTCATTTTCAGAACCCAATCCCCAGTAAACCTGAAGGGTCCTGGAGAATTGTGGAGAATACTTGTAATACACATTCTTCTCACTGTAACATGCACCCCCATACACCTACACCTAGCACTTGGGGCAACAGGGAGTGCAAACAGAAGCAACACTGAGGGCCTGGAAATAGACAGACCTACCCAGAAGGCTAGCTGTGCCGGTCCCTTGCTGTGTGAATCTGGATAAGTTGTTCCACTTTGCTGGTTCTGTTTGTTCCCAACACCTGAGGACAGGTGATGTTATGCTGAGTTCTGCTGTCTCCGTGCTCTATCCCACTATCTCGGGGTCTTTCTTCCTCACCCTGCTTGTTGGCTCCATAGGTATGGAACCAGTTCCAGAGCCAGTAAATAAAGACCTGGCAGCAGAGGATAGATACCCGAGCTGTGCTCCTGAGAGGGCTCAGGTCACAGCACACCCAAGGACCACAGGTGCTGGACTGGGATGATCACTCTTTGACACCATTCAATAAGTACCTGCCTGACCCCAAAGCCCGCCCTCACTGGCACCCTCCCCACCATGTTGAGCTGGCAGGGACCCTGTGGAATACGGAACGAAAGGATACTGGCACCCAGGGCTACTGATTGCCTTCTTGGGGACCATCTCCAAGGCCCTGTAGGTGCAGTGCTCAAGAGCAGAGCTTGGTGGGGTGGCCGGTGGCACAGGCCCTAGCTCTCAAAAAGTGTATGGGTAGAGGAGGTGAAGGGACATAGAAGCCTGGAAAGAAGGTGTAGGAGTCAGGGGAGGGCAGCAAGGCACTGCACCAAGTGGGAGGGTGTGGCTGGGGCTGAGCTCCCAAGCTGGCTCGAGCAGCAATTTCGGGGGGGGGGGGGGGGCATGAGTCACCAGCTTCTCCCACACCCAGGGCCCTGCGAGGCAGTGCTACTGATCTTGTTCACGAATACTGGGCTTGAATAGAAAGTTTCTTTACAAAAAAAAAAAAAGAAAAGAAAAGAAAAAATTTTTTGTTCTTTTTTTTTGTTTGTTTGTTTGCTTGCTTTTTGTTGTTGTTGTTGTTCTTTTTTTAAGACAGGGTCTCGCTCTGTACCCCGGCTGGGATGGAACTCGCAGGTATCCTGCTACCTCCGTCTCCCGGACATTGGGATTGCAGGCATCCCCCACCATGGCCGGCTCTCTAAGAAACTTTGAGGACGGTCAGGTCAGCAGGGGCCGGCAGTACTGAGGACCCCCTCAGCAAGGACCTCCCCAGGTCCGCGCGTAATGTGGGCGGAGGCTCCATGCCCCCGACTTGCACAAACCTGCACTCAAGGCTGCACAGCTCCAGGGAGAGTCCCACCCTAACGATCAGGCCCGAGGGTCCCGTCCCGCTACAAGTACCATCCCCTCATCCCGCGTCCAAACTCCAGGGCCCGGGATCTGGATAAAGGGTGGATCCCGGGGACCCCTGAGGACCAGACGGGCATCCTCCAGGATACTCACGTTCGCTGCCATGCTGAGGCCTGACTCTTGCCCTTGACTCCGCTCCGCTGTAGGTAGACTGGCCGGGCAGCGTGCAGCCTACTAGCCTCTCGCCAGACCAGAGCCGCCGAACCCAGCTCAGCGATCAGGACCCGGCACGACTGGCTGCACAGTTACCGCCCTTCAGGCCCGGCTTTTATGCGCCTGCGCGCTGTACAGCCTGCTAGGAAATGTAGTTTGGGGTCAGGCGCTTTCCGCGACAAATTTGCGGCCTGCGCTGTCCCTAGCTAATGCGACTGCGCACTGCACAGCTCCTGGGAAATGTAGTTTCTCTGGCTAGGAAGCCACCTTAGAGGCGCACGGCCTGCTGGGAAGCGTAGTTTCCGTCAAGTGCGCGACGGGCGGGCCTGAGGGCGGCGCGCGGAGCTGAATCCGCCTGTGGGGTGAGGAACGCCAGGTCTCGCGAAGGGGGTCGTGTCGCTGGCGCCATGTCGTACTGCCGGCAGGAAGGTGAGTGGGACCTCGCGCTGGCATCTACTTGGAGTAGCGCGGGTGCCCAGGGTCGCAGCGGGCGCGGGCCCGGCTTCTCTGCAGTGTGCAGCGCGGGCTCTCGGAGGGGCTGCCGCCGCGCACCACGTGCCGCAGCTCGAGATTATGGCACCCACGTGGCTTGCGGCGACCTTTGTGGGTCGCTCTCGGCGCCGCCTGCATGGGCCTCGCGGCAACCCGGGGTCGAGCGAACGGTCTAACTGTGTTCCTGAGGCCGCAGGCGGGGAGGGCGACCCAGGCCCCTCAGCCAGGCGGCTCCTGGTCTCCCGCTCCCCGTCCCACAGGGGCACTGGAGGTCTGGCCTCTTGCCGGAAGCACCTTGCCAGCCGGTAACGGGAATAGTGGGCACTAGTACCCAAACCGCGAGGACTGAGCCTGGGAAACCCAGTAGGCTGAGGCAAAAGGATCGCAGCGAGTTCCAGGCCAATTGGTGGACTACGTGGTGAAACCCTGCCCCCCAAATTAAAAAATGCTGTAGAGAATTGGAATTCACCTAGAAACCATTTGGAGCGTGGTGTAGGGCACTCTTTAGGAAATCCAGAGCCCAGAGAGGGAGGCGACCTATTCAAGGTCATTCATCCGGCCAGAACACAGTTTAAAATATGGAGCCTTTGCCCATCTCCACAGCTGTCTTCAGGACACAACTGCTGTACCTTGTAAGCACTGTGCCTGGAGGGTGCATACCTAACGCATGCCACGATTGGGAGCCCTCGGTCCCCCCAGGCTTCAAGCGGTTTCTCTCACATCCTATTTCCTAGTTCTCCTGAGTCTACCTTTACAGGTAGGGAATTCTGAGCCTTTTTGGTAAAGAGGTTGTGTGGTAAAAACACCTCACCAGAGGACTCACAGGATCCATGAGGTCTCTGGGAAAGGAGAGCCTGGTAGCACTATCTGATAGCATGACCTGAAGCCCTGGCATTTCCTGGTTCCTAGATTGGGGGTGAGAGTTGAAGAAAACTCAAGATTAGGTCTTCCTTAGATTCTCCCACCCCTTTCTCTGTTTCTCTACATTACCAAGGATTGAGCCCAGAGAGTGCTGAGCGACATCCCCTTTTCCTTTTTTTCTTATTTTGAGATGGTCTTACTGAGCAGCCCTTGAATTTACAATCCTCCTGCTTTAGCCTCCCTTGTAGTTAGGACCACAGTTATCTAGGCTTACAGATGTGTGCCACCATTCTTAGCAGTTTTTTCATTCTACTGCAGAGCCTACCCTGTTCTCAGTCAACAAATGTTTATTGAATGTGTGTGATGTGTCAGCCACTGGGGATAGTGTAGTGAGCAAAGTGGCATTTTCTTCACCTTCCTGGCATGATAGAACAGATTGTATGAGAACTGGAAAGGTGCAGAGAGTCAGAGGTTTCTCTTATTTCAGAGATTGTGTCAGGTGCCTCTTTCTTAGAACCACTTCCTGTCTTCAGACCATTTGTAGACTGCCTTCTAGAAACACCTCTTGGCTTCTACTTTTGCTCCCTTAAATTCTAGCGGGGGGGGGGGGGGACTTACCTCAAGAAACCGGGGAGATAGCTTAGTAGAATAAGCACTTGCCTGGCAAGTGCAAGGGCCTGAGTTCAATCCCCAGTTCCACCAAAAAAGAAAGAAAAAGAAAAGAAACCTTTCCCTAGCACCTCCTCCTTGATGGAAATCTCTTTCCCCACCAGGCTTCTCCATAAGTTGCTTGTATTGTGTTCAGCTGCAACCCCTAAGCCCCACACAGAGCTAAAGCTAGTGAAGGCTGAGCTAACCCTCTGCTATTCTTTACATCATGTGTGCCCCCAAGGCCCATGTGTGAAATATCTCTGTGGTCTCCACGGTGGGGCCTTATAGGTCCTGGTCACTTCCTGACATCTTCACCCAGCACCCATTAGTGGCCCAAAGCATCATGTCCAATTGACCTTAGCATGGAATCTCCAAAGCCCTAAGCTTCAATCAAATTTTGTTTTGTTTTGTCTTGTTCTGTTTTGTTGTGAGACATGGTCTCTCTATGCAGTTTGGGCTGGCCTTGTGCTCACTTATATGGTTCCCAGGCTGATCTTTGCACTTGTAGTGATCCTCCTGTTTCAATCTCTCTAGTGCTGGAATTACAGGCGTGTGTCAACACTCCTGGTTTGTAAATCAACTTTTTTTTGATCATTATCTCAGGTACTTTGTTACAGTGATGAAAGCTAACTCAAGTTGGGCATGATGGCACATTTGTTATCCCAGCAATCAGGAGGCTGAGGCAGGAGGACTGCTTCAAGTTCAAGGCCAGTCTGAACTGCAAAGTGAAATCCTGTCTCAAAGGGATTAAAAAAAAGAAAAAAAAGCTAACTAACACAACTTCTGACATTCTTCGCATACTGTATCTGAAAGCTATTTGCGTGTTATTTTTTGTTGTTTTTTTTATAGGATTTTGCTGTATAGTTCAGGCTGTCCCTGAACTAACTATATAGTCCAGGCTGGCACCCTCAAACATGTGGTGATCCTTCTGCCTCAGTCTCCTCATTGCTGGAATTACAGGCTTGCACCATCACACCCAGCTATTTGTGTACTCTTCACAGACCACTGCTTCTCATGATTGGGTTTAGAGTTCCAAAGGGCCAGAAGACAATCTTGATCTCTGTCCCTAAGGCCTGGAAAGGTCTCTAGCACAATCTAAGAGCTCATCAAGTATTTGCTGTGTGGAATATCCTTTATGCATTTAGAATTTCCTTCCTAAATACTAGGCTGCTGCATTTGTCAAAGGAGATTCTAAACCTGAAAGCCCTGCACAGTTTGAGTGTTGAAGAGTTTGGTAAATCCAATGAAGTACTCCTAAGTCCAACTCAGCCAGGTCAGCTAAAGCAACTGTTCTTCTGGCTCCTCCTCTCTTCACCACAGCCCACACTGGGGCACCACTTAGCTGGGGATGGGGGAGGTCCAGAATTGGGGGGCACAGATCTTGGAGGTAGAGTGCTGGATTTAGTGAGACTGAGTCACGGATCTCTCAATGAAGAGTAGAACCCCAGAGTTATGGATGGGAATGAATGCCTTGGTTCTAACTGACCAGCCTCTGCCTCCCCACCAGTGCCAGGGTTCTGAAGAGGGAATAGCTTCCCTGAGGTACCTGTCTCTACTACCCAGCTCTTCCACTCAGCTGTTCCCACATGTTTCTCACTTCTCCAGCCTGTGGTTGGTGTTTCCACTGTACCCTTGTCAGTCATGCCATTAAAAAGCAGAAACTCAGTCACCTGTTCTGTTTGATCCAAGAGGTGGAGGGCTGATCTGGGGTCGATCATGAGAGCTTTGCCTAATTAGAACTGCAGCCTTGGGCTCTCACACCAGTGCCACCAGGAGCAGAGGGTGTGAGGTAACTGCCCACATCCTTCTGAGGATGTGAATCCCACCTCTGGGTTTTTTTCCTTAGAAATGAAAACAGGATATCTATATTTCATTTTTCTAGAAAAATGAACTGCTTTATGAGAACAAGTCTGGCTGATTAGTGTATTGGTTTGGCCTTCTTACAGCTAGAGCTTTCACAGTTGGGTTTGGAAAAGCATAAATAAACACTGACTTTCATCATTTCTACTTTGCTTCCTTTTTGCTGCTTCTACAGTGGAACCCAGGGCCTTGTGTGCACTGGGCAAATGCTGTACTCAGACTCACAGAGTCCCTATGCCTTCTTAAATGTTGCAGAAAGAAAGGCCTGGTGGGGCACACCAGAGGAGGTAGCTCACTTGATCTTTCTGGCCAAAAGTTAGCTCTTGCCCTGTCCTTGTCCACCATGCAACTTTGGGCTAGTTCCCCTCCTCCACTTTAAAAAGGAGAGCAGATCATGCCGTTCCTCTGTAGCCGTGAGGACCAGATGACCTCTTGGATGGATGTCTGACATACCTGGTAGAAGATGCACTGCTGCTGATCCTCCTGCATCCCACAGTGAACATGCATTAAGGTTGCTCCCAGGACAGTGCTGAAGGCTTGGTCTGGTGGCAGGGACCCAGGCCTTCCCTGTGTTGTGCCAGGCCTGTGAATCCTGACCTGGCTATGTATTCCTACCCTGCTGTGAAGCACACAGGGAGACTGAACCTGCCACAGACCTTTTTTCAGCTTTGGTTGGGTGAAGGCCTGGGCTCTGTGCTTCACAGGCTGTCTGCTCTTCTGCTTAGCATCTGATACTTCCTAGTCTGCTTCCAGTGTTTTCTTTAACACTGACCTCTGACACTGCTGGGCCAGATGCCTTCCTGGACCACATAGGATCACTGATCTTCTTGGAACTAAGGTGGGAGAACTCACTCAGATTTGGCTGTGGCACTTTGAATATTTCATCCCCAACCACTGAGGATGGATCCCAAAATCTCAGGTCTCCCTGAGTCAGCTGAGCAGTCTGGAAAGCTGTAGATTTGACCTTGTACATTTCCCAGAAGATTCAAGCAAGATCCCCCACCATTCACTTAATAGCTATCCCCTTGGTTCTCAGTATGCAAGTGATGCTGGGTACCTGATCATCCATCCTTGCTCCTGTGCGTTGGGTGTGGGCCAACCTGGAGGCTCCAGCTTTGGTAAGCCCAAGTGAGTCCCTACCCAGAGCCTGGGCTTAGACCCTGATGAATGGGTACCACTCTCCACTCCTGTTTATGGGTGGGGTGAAAGGACCAGAGATGGACCCATGTGTTCCATTCTGTAGGGACTGCCCAGGAGAGGGATGACCCCACCTGTGTTGATGCAACACTAATGGCAAGGTGTTCCCTGCAACAATGGAAACAACTGGC